TGCGCTAGTTTAAACTATTACATAGTTTAAAATAACGCATAATGCGCTAATGGACGGGTGCACTCAGACGTGCACTCGAAACGGAAGGGGGCTGAGCGGCAGCGGGCCTCTCAGTGTCGGGGGGGCGGGGGGGCTCTATAGCGCGTGTTGTCTGCTCGGCGGCCAGAAGGGCCGCGAGGTCGCGTGTAATTTTATTGTGTGTGACTGCGAGTGCGTGTTTGGGCCTTCGGGGCCTATATCGGGACGGGGGGTGGGGGGCGTATGCCGACGCCGACCTAATTAGTGGGTTAGAGTGCTCTTCTGCAGCTTTGAAAAACCGTTCCGAGCACTCTGTGAGGTGAGTTTGTATAGTGTCGAGTTGAAGGTCCCTGTGGAGGTCCGCGTTACGGACGTACCACGGGGCCCCTGTGGCTGTGCGGCAGAAGCGATTTTGAACAACTTGAAGTTTGTTCAAAATCGCTTCGTCCGCATGCGCGAACACGGGTGATGAGTATGTGAGTACCGGGCGTATGCAAACTTTGAATAGTGTACGCTTGTTTCGGAGTGACATCTTACTATGTTTTCCGATCATCGGGTGGAGGCGGCTCATTTAAAAACGCGCGTTCGCGACTACGCGGGTGACGTGCGGTCGGAAAGTGAGTCTTTTGTCTAGTGTTATACCTTTTTTTTTTTTTTTTTATAACGCAGGTAAAAAATCTTTTTACAGACGACGGCGCCTTTAAGAGGCACACCGCCGAACGGACCTCACACCTGGCTCCCGCAAGTCTTACGGACCCCCGGTGGCTAACCACCGAGGACCCCGCAACTCTTACGGGCGCTTTACAGCATAATATCCGCTAAAAAAGTCCTGCGAATACCTTCTAACTGCTTAGTGCGGAGCCGCAGGGTCCCCGTTAGGGATTCTACCACGGCTCCGCCCCCAGCAGCTTCCCGGCCTTGCCGGGGCTCCACGGCAGGGGTCTCCCGCGGTATTACGGGGACCCCGCAGACGTGCGCAGGTAGGCCCGCGCGTGGGGGCTGGGTACGCGTACGCTACTGCCCACCGTACCGCCCCCCATCCGCTACGGAGGGGACTCCTGGGCATACCCGTCCAAGAACCCTCCGCCGCCCCCCCTTTGTAGGACAGAACTACGAGTGGGGGGGGCGCCGTTCCTGGGAGGGGGGAACGGGAGGGGAAGCGTATATCTTCCCGTCCCTCTCACCCCTCCCGGTCGCCCCCGTCTCCCCGCGTCTTCTCCTAGGAGAAGAGGGGGGAAAGGCGGGCGACAGCATTCGTGGGGGGGTTAGAGCGGCCGAGGCTACTCGGACATCCCCCCCTCTGAGGGCGCCCGTGCAGGCGCCGACTCAGAGGCCACTCTCTCGGGGGGTTTGCCCTTGGTGACCGGCGGGTCACACCTCCCCTTCCCCATTACGTGGTCGGCCGGCAAACCACTCTCCTTACATATGGCGCAGCAGGGTTCGGCAGCGCATTCCGCCGCCTTGTGTCCCTGCTGCCCACACCGGAAGCACGCCTGGCTTCGGTCGTGCTCAGATGGGCACTGTCGGCAGGTGTGCCCCCTGCCCATGCACCTGAAGCAGCGCATAGGAAGGGGGCCCAGGAGTCGCACCTGTGCGGCGCACCAGCCCACCCGGAGCACGCCGCCAACTACCACTTTCTTTGCGATGCCAATTGGGCACCGCACTACCGTTAGCCCCATGCCCCCCGGGCCGGGACGCAGTTCCGAAGCGGTCACCAGATTGGTGGGACAACCACCCTTACTCGACACCGCCTCGATGACATCCGCCATCGTTGCGGAGTCTTCGAGGCCAGACACCCGTAGGCCCGCCATCTTCTCCGGCCTTCCCACCTCAGCGAGGCCCGCCACCACTTCTCGAAGGCGCGCTGCTAGGGTGTCGGCCTTCGTCCCACTGTCAGGCCCAGGAACCAGCAGCAGCTTGTCCCCGGTCTGACTCGCCTTAATGGTCAGGCCACCCGCTATACCAACGTCAGGCAAGGAGATATCACTCCTTGCCTTCTCCATCACCTTCTGGAGGGTGATGCCCTTCTTTGCGGCCTCCGCTGTTAGCTTCAGCGTGATGGCCGCCGTCGTCGGTGTCTTCAGCTTCAGAGGGGGGCGCTGACGATCCTCCCGCCCTTTCCCACGCACCTTGGCCGATTCCAGCTGCGTGTCTTGTGTTGACACTGCGGCAGATACCGGAGTCTTCCTGCTCTTTCCCCGTCGTACCACCACACTCCATGACTCTTGTGAGTCCGCAGTCGTTTTCTTAATCGGCTGGGTTGCCGGTTTCTTCATTGTATCCGCCCGGGGAGGCTCTGAAGCCTGTTCCCTTGGCGGCAACCTTTCCTCTATGGAGGCCAGCCGAGTATTGACCATCTCGCTTATAGAAGATATAAGCGAGCCTTTCAATTCCTCGACGACCTCTTTCCATTTCAGTTTATCAGGCCTGCCTTCACCCATCACCTTTTCGTGGAGGACCCGCATCTCCTCCACTTCTCTCGCCAGAGCGGAGTTCTGTGTGCGAAGCCGACTCATTTCAGCGTCCGCATCCTCCAGCCTCTCCCTGCATCGATCTCTCTCATTCCGGTACCGGCGAGCTCTCTCAAAATAGGAGCTTTCCGCACTAGCCCTACTGAAGATGTAATTCAGGCTCGCATCCAGTGACTCAAGGCTGTCAAGAATCTGGCCGTATTGAGGCTTTTTCAACTCTTTGGCATCCCTGGCGTCGTTGACCGCATCTACCACTCCCTGAATTATATCCATAGTGTCATCGCTCACCTCCTTCCATGAGCGATTATCTTCAGACTCCTCGTCGTCGTCTATGGTCGGTGGTTCTGGCTTACCACTTGTTGTCGTCAGTCTAGTGGAAGCCGCTGCACTTCTCTTGCCCCGTCGGGCCGTATGTACTTTGGCAGGGGAGGGTGTTATATCCTTGCCCTCATCCGCCCCGCCCCTCAACCTTAGAACCTCTCCTCCAAACGCCTCGGTAGCTAATTTAACACCAGGGGTACCGGAATCCCCCTGGCGCCGGTGGCCAACCGGAGCGCATAGGCCGCTGCTAGCAAATTTCACACCCTGGGTAGGAGCTTCCCCAGGGCGCCCGGTGTCAGCGGGATCGCAGGACAAATATAAACCATTGTCCGACATTACATTAAGTTTTTCCCTCTTCCGGGCGAGGGAACCCTACCTGGCCTCATCAAAAGGTAATTTTTGAAAAGGTTTTCTTCCTTGCAGCCCCCGCCCCGAAGGACGGCGGCCCCCGGCCCCACACCACGTGCGGGGTTACGGGTTGGCCGGAAGCAACGCGGAGTTCGCGCCGCAACCGCCCTCACCAATGGCGTTTCCGCCTCAACCTATGGAGTCTCGACCACCGCTACCCGGGCTACCCAGGGCGCCGGCCGAGAGACCCCTCGGGTGATTTTTTAGAGAGGTTGTCTTCCTCGCAGCCCCCGCCTCCAAAGGAAACAGTATCTTTGCAGACGGCGGCCCTCGGCCCCGCACTATGTGCAGGGTTACGAGCTTGACTCGACTGCCGCTACCCGGGATACCCAGGGCGCCAGCCGAGACCACCACCGGGTAATTTTTTAGAGAGGTTGTCTTCCTCGCAGCCCCCGCCTCCAAAGGAAACAGTTCCTTTGCAGACGGCGGCCCTCGGCCCCGCACTATGTGCAGGGTTACGAGTTTGACCCGACTGCCGCTACCCGGGATACCCAGGACGCCAGCCAGGTCTCCACAGCTGGGTATGGTCCACGCCGGCCGAAGCCGGTACCTCCCATCCGCCACCCGAGAGGACGCGCCCGATAGCAGACCCAGCCAAACTGCCACGGGTAGTGTTATACCTAGATATTTGACAGTGCGGTGCCACGGTATTGCGATGCCTTGCATGCGCAACGACCGCGCACCGTATTCGATAGTTTTGGATCGGCGCTTGGGATCCGGATTTACGTCGATCCCCCAATCGCGGAACCAATTCCCTAGTGTTGTGACTGCTTTTTGGAGCCTGGCTATGATTTGTTTTACACTAGCACCTCTCGAGTAGAGTGCTGTGTCGTCCGCGAAAAGAGCGAGCTCGACACCCTTGGTGGTGGGGATGTCGTTCGTGTACGCTGTGTATAGGAGGGGGGAGAGGGCGGACCCCTGCGGTACACCGGCTCGGAGTGGGCGGGGCGTGGATAGGGTGCCTTCGTATCGGTACCGGAAGGTACGATTTGTTAAGAAGGAGGCTATTAACCTAACTAGACGGTCGGGTAATTCTAATTCATAAAGTTTGTAGATAAGGCCGTCGTGCCAAACCTTATCGAATGCCTTTGCTACGTCGAAGAATACTGCCACTGTTTTACTTTTATTAAATTGGAACCCGCTTAGGGCGTGTTCCACAATGCGGTGAACTTGCTGAGGGCAAGAGTGTTTAGTTCTGAAGCCAAATTGATTGTGTATTATTTTGGGATCGGAAGGTGATAAAAGACGCTCTCTGAGTCGGGTCAGTATGGTTTTTTCGAATAACTTCCCCATTGCCTTGAGGAGGCTGATGGGGCGGTGGCTACTGGGGAGGTGCGCGGGTTTACCGGGTTTAGGGATGCCTATCACGATGGCTTCCTTCCAGGCGGCTGGGAACCAAAGCGCGATTCAGGAGACTACAGCGCCATCTCTTGACCATTGGTGGAGTAGAACCAAAAACCACATCTTTATTTTTTGTAATAAAGTAACAGTTATAGGTATTCATATTTATAATATTTATCCACATGTTTCTAGTTTGTATATTCGGAATACGTGTTTGAGTTTCATACAAGTGCAAATCACATATGTTCTAATAAATTATATTCAGTAGCGATTTTAATTTAATATTTTGATTATTTATTTATTTTTTCAAATTAAAACTGAACTTTATTGACTGTGTCCTTTTCCAGACTTTTTATTAATTTATTGTAATTAATTATTTGCATGCAATTAAAAACTAATTTTAAACGATGCCAAAGAAGGATAACTTCTCACGCGCCTACATAAGTACACGCACCCATTTTTTTGATATTAAGTACAATGCCCTTAAAAACACCTACGTCCACTCTGGCTACGGATGGACGGGAAACTAACATCCACCCACGCAAAGAAACTTCGCAAAAGAAATGTAAGAGGGTGGCAGAGTGTATGGATGCCGTTTTTGATTCGTGAGCTGGATCCGAGGCGATATATCATTATGCTATTGCATTAATTACGAAAAAAAAACACATTAAATAATGTACATTCATTTATTTAATTCTCTACTTATTTATCTATATCGTTTATTAGTAGTAATCCCTTAGGCTCGTCCAGCACTTGACCGTTGTCGTAAATTAGCTGTCCTCGTAGGTAGGTCTTTTTCACTACGCCTCTCAGCTCTTTATCCAAGTAGGGAGTTAGCTGTGAAATTAATTAATGCCTGATTAGATTTTTGAAGAAACGTTAAAACTTTATTCCTTAAGTTTGAAAAAAATAATTGGCTAATGGGCATAATACTTATAATCTATATTTTTTCATAGAATTTCAAAGTCATTAAAAATGAGATATTGTGAGATTCGCGAAAAGTAAAAGCCTTTTTTTATACCACTGTGCCTAGTTCCACTTTATTATATTACGGATAATACGTTTTATTATTATATTATTATTTACACTCTTACGATCCCAGAGACCGCATTAGGAACCCATAACGCTAGGCACGTTATGTTGTTAAAAAGAGACATCATATACGAGTAATAATGAACAGTACCTAGAGTATCTCACTTTAACAGCTGTTTTTTATAGCGTAAATAGTTCCTAATACGACTTCCGGAATAGGTAATTATGGATTATTATTGCGCTCTCTTCGCTCACTATTGTGTCACAGGAACAGTACTACAGAATAGTTTTGACTATGGTCATCTTTAAAATGAAGGAATTTTCCAAGGACGGGCTCCCTAATTAAAGAAACATCATCCCTTGTGCAATGAAACAAATAGCCAAATTAAATTAATAAAAACGCTATAAGAAGGCGACAGGACTCTATTTATTAAGAAAATGTTGTTAGTTCCTCTCTTATTCTGATTAGCCATCGTCGTCGAATGCTTAAATATTCGACCTATTTTCTAACACATTAAGTGTTAATTAAAAACTATAATAACGAACTTCGTTCTGAATATCCTTTCGTAATAGTGGGTGCCCGCGTCTTCGTTTGCGTGGAAATATCCAATACATACATTGATCCTCTAAAAGAGAAAAACCGGACCCCTTTACCGACCGGGGTGAAATTCTTAATAGCTATATGTTGGCCAAATTTCAGCGCAATCAGTGGCTTGGGCTGTGCGTTGATATATCAGTCAGTCAGTAACAGTTGCCTTTTATTCCAAGCTTTTAAATACAGTTTATAGTTAACTTCTTATTGAAATATGATTTTAAAACATATTGCCTTGCCTTGTTCTTATGTCTTATAATGTTGGTGGTTACGGTGAAGGTGTCATCAGGATCGAAGAAGACCAGGTCAGCGTCACAGCCAGGCTTCAGCGCTCCCTTTTTGTCCTGCAGACCGCACAGATGAGCGGGAGCCGAAGACAAATACTTGCTGATTGTCTTCAGGTCAAGACCCCTGGCACTTATGTTTGTCCAGAACAGCGATAAACCTGTACAACAACATTATTAAATTAGGGGATATCTAGCTTGTAAGGGTTTGTGATTGTTTAGGCTGACCAGACTTCTCGTATTTCTTGAGGCGACCCGTTTTTCAGCTATGGCTTTTACCACGTGCCTAAATTAAGTTCTACTCATACATGATGCTTATAATGTTTGAAGGCAATAGAGAAAAAATACTTCCCGGTGAGATAAAATGTAGAATGTTAGCTATGGCTTTCTATATGTTTAAAAAGATACTGGACAGCTGCAATTCACGTGCCGATAGAAAATGGAGAATTACCAATTCAGAATATTGATGATAGAAGAGTTTCAACTTTAAGCTTTTCTTGGGGATGCTTAGAACAATATCCTTAATTTTATTATGTCGGTTCACCTAAACGTCTAAAATAACTTCAACAATTTTGCTTACTTAGATACTTACCAAATTGGACTGATGAAATACCACCCCAAGCTTCCAAATTATTTTTACACTTCAAATCAGGGGTACACGGTGAGTGGTCTGAAACTACCATGTCCAGTTTATCTTCTAGCAAATACTGCCATAGTTTCTCCTAGAACAAGTAATATGAATTTTCATTTCTTGATTAATCCTAAAGTGCTTGCAGGTAACACCAAGGGAGATCTTCGATAATAGCTCCGCGGGCAGTAAAAAGTTCCAGAAATGAACGAACTAAGGGAAACTAAACCAATAATTATTTGAACAGTATGTAATTGTGTAGTTGCATCGAATCTTCTTGCAATAGTGAGCGTCATCACATGTAGAGATTGGTGCTAGGAGATTCATATGATATTTGAAATATAACAGCCGTGAAGCGCTGACACACTGCTTTTAGTAGTAAGCACTTTCGTTCTCCTCAAGCACTGCTTTTTTGTCCTATACCAAAGCCTATACCTTATTCCCTTCGTCTCTAATCGGCGGCGCGCACTTGTACTCGCTGTGTCCGCGGGGCACCTCCTCAGCGCTCAGGGTGAGGTAGTGGTGGCAGGTCTCCGCGGTGACGCCGCCCCGCCAGCCCTGGTGGCCGCGCGCCTCTCGCTTCTTGCGAGCCTCCACCAACATTGGCACCACGTTTGAAGCAGACACGTGTACGACGTGCACGCGTACGCTGAAACATTGGCACATTATTTGTAAATCAACGATTGCCAATTGATTGCGAATAATTTTCTTTGGAGATACCCAATGGTGAATTAACTGCATTAATAGTTGCCCAGACATCAAAATAAACAGATTTTTATCGGCTCAAATTCTATCACGATATGTTTAAATTTTGGTGATGTTATCATTATTAAATGTTACCTATACTTTAATTACGATAACTTCAGGTTATGATCTTCTCCTTCTTCTTCATAAGCCCGGGTTCACCCATTGTCGAATATAGGCCTCTTCATGATTTCTCCACTTGACCCGATTCATCACTACAGCTATAGCGATAGGTTACCTTCCCACTTTTCTTCGGCCAGTTCTTGGTCTTTACTCGGCTATCTTATCCTTAGTTCATCGGACATCGTCTCTTCTGCTCAAGTGGCCCGCCCATCTCCATTTCAACCTAGCCACCACTAGAATGATATCTTTTTGGTGCGCTTCCTGATTTCCAGATTAGGGATACAATCCGCAAGCGAGATATCCAACATTGCACATTCCATCGCTCGCTGCGTTACCTGAAGTTTGCGCACTAGCTCCACCGTAAGAGTCCAGGACTCGGCACCGTAGGTAAGCACAGAAATAATACACTGCTCATATACCTGCGTCTAAAAAAAGATGGGGATTCGTCTGCTCTTCAGCACATCGGCAAGTTTACTAATAGCTGCCCATCCTAGCTGGATTCTCCTCTCAATCTCCCTTCTCTAGCCATCTGCTTCGAGCGTGACAATCTGACCCAAATATACATACTCCTACACATAATATGTGCATGGATTACGTTTAATTTATGTTTATGATAACGCCGTTGTCATGCGCCCACCGTTACCGTTATCATCTAAATAAACTTGTATATAAGAGGTTTAAGGAGATATTACCTGTATTTTTTTTTCTTGATTACATGTTGAAACATTGAAGATATTTTGTGCCAAAAATATCACGCGATTTTGGGTAGATAGTGGGCATGGTGGACAAGATCACAAGATCATTAGTGGTGGAGATTAAGTTTAATTCTCGTCGAGTTTCACCAGGGGCAGCTGCGGGGGTAAAGTTTAAACAATCACTTGATTTAATGGACTACCCCAATTCGTACATTAATAGCAAAATTTTACTCACTCTGTCTTGTCAAGGAAACTCGTTATAAGGGAGATTGCGTTCTGTTCCATACTGGCAGGCCGCGATTCTAAGTAAGTGCGGTATTCTTCTGGGTCTGCAAAGACAAAATTAGAAGACAATGATAGATAGATAGAAAAAAAAATGTGTGCGTGTACTAGTGTACACACGTAAGAAGAGAAACTTCTTTATGGCCTTATTTTTCGAAAAATGATCTACATGCAACTTTCCAGAAATTGGTTAAATAAAGTTAAATTAGATAAAGTTTAAACAAAAGGATTTTATTATCATAGACATGAATACAAATTACTGCCTATGAAACTGTTATGATTACACGGCTCAGTAATCTAAGGCACATGTTCCACCTCCGACGATGAACGATAAGCGAGTAGAAACTAGAAACGAATTGGCAGTCCTGAGTTAAAATGCACGCGTACGGCTTTTGACAGCCAAGCCAGCTTAACCGAGCGAGTATAGCTGAGCGAGTATCGCTGAGCTAGTATCGTTGAGCGAGTATCACTGAGCGAGAATCGCTGAGCGAGTATCGCTGGGCGAGTATCGCTGAGCGAGTATCGATGAGCGAGTATCGCTATGCGAGTTTGGCTGAGCGAGTCTTATATTTAATAACTATTGTCACTCAGCTACAAACGAGTAGAGAGAGTTCTCTCCAGCGACAGTGTGATCATTCAGCTATCAACTATTAATATAAAAAAAAGATGACACGTAACAGAAAAATGTGACGCGTAACCGAAAAATGTGACGGTAAATTTTTTTCCAACGCCGATAAAGAAGTTTCACTTCAACAATTATAAAAAATATAAAGCCCCGTATTCATGGTAAACATTTGTTTAGCAACAGTTGCTAAACATTGTTGGTGAGCGGCGATATTGTTGCTAGCAACTATGTTTAAATCAATACAGGTTGTCCACACGCCAGTCTGCGTTAAAATGTTGCCCGAGGAGGTAGTGTTGTTGTGTTCTCTGTATCAGATGTATAGAATCTCTAATAAAAAAAAGAGAAAAAGATGGTGGATTCGAAATTATCTTTTGCAAAGAGAAAATTTGATGAGTGACCTCAGAATGACAGATGGATCATTTTGTAACTTTACGAGAATGTCGAAAAGTGATTTCAAACATCTTCTAGAAATGATTGGTCCATCAATAGCCAAAAGGGAAACAAATATTCGTCAGCCAGTTTCACCTCAAACGAGGCTGGCTATTACATTACGGTATCTTGCAACTGGAGATTCATACAGTTCTCTTTCATACACATTCAGAGTATCAAAACAATTGATTAGCAAAATTATACCAGATGTATGTCAAGAACTAATTAACTCACTAGCAGGATATGTCAAGGTACAAGAACACTATTTGTGTAATCAAGTATTTTATTAATTAAAAAACACAAAAAAAACAGTGTATGCTATTGCGTTGATTCATCACTGAGATAGTTAACTAAGTTTAGTATAGCCGAATCTTCTGTTTCGTCTCGTAATGCATCTAGTCTATTTGTTTCGTGTCTCTCAATTTCCCTTATTTCAGTTTCCTGAACATTATTTGGTGTTGATGATGGATGAGAAGATGCCGTTTGATATCCATATGTATTATATCGTCCCATTTTTAATTCATACAGTATATTATTAATATGGTACTTTGCCTGTGTCACGGCTTGGTCATCTTTAACACTTCTTAATTCAGCAGCAATATATTCACCATATATATCAAATGGATCCTTCTTCTCCCTTTCATCCATCTTTTTTTTAGCACTTTTCAAAACCTCTAATATTTCATTTGATTCATCTGTCTTATTTCTTTTCCTCGAAGATGTAGATGTTGTAGCATTCGGCCTTGGTGATTGAGATGGCTCTTACTCCATACCACTTTCAAGTGCATTGTTTTCATCTACCTGTAAATTTCTACGGACTCTAGCTTCTCTCTTGTTTCTAGCTTCTACGGACAGCTATACGCGACATCACGAGTACCTGTCACAAAGGCGACTGACCCAAGAGCCAAATTAACCCGACACTACACCGAAGATATCCCGGACGTCAGCCTGTACGAGATTAGTGCAGCTCTGAAACAGCTCAAAAACAAAAAGGCGCCGGGTGATGACGGAGTTACAGCCGAGCTTCTGAAAGCAGGTGGACGACCAGTCTTGAAATCTCTTCAGAAGCTATTTAACTCTGTCATACTCGAGGGCAAAACGCCTAGCGCATGGCATAGGGGAGTGGTGGCGCTTTTCTTCAAGAAGGGAGACAGGGCCCAATTGAAGAATTACAGACCCATCACGCTCCTGAGTCATGTATACAAGTTGTTTTCGAGAGTCCTCACGAATCGTCTCGCGCGCAGGTTTGACGACTTCCAGCCTCCCGAACAAGCCGGATTCCGAAAAGGGTTTAGTACCGTAGACCACATCCATACGCTGCGGCAGGTTATACAGAAGACCGAAGAGTATAACCTGCCATTATGCTTGGCGTTTGTGGACTACGAGAAAGCCTTCGATTCGATCGAGACATGGGCCGTGCTTCGGTCACTCCAAAGGTGCCAAATAGACTATCGATACATCGAAGTGTTGCAGTCGTTGTATGAAAACGCCACTATGTCAGTTCGACTCCAGGACCAAAACACGAAGCCAATCCAGCTGCAGCGTGGTGTAAGACAGGGTGACGTTATATCACCGAAACTGTTTACAGCTGCGCTGGAAGACGTTTTCAAACTTTTGGACTGGAGCGGACTTGGCATCAACATAAACGGCGAGTACATGACGCACCTTCGATTTGCAGATGATATCGTAGTCATGGCTGAGACCATGGATGACCTTGGCACAATGCTCGGCGACCTCAGTAGGGTGTCCCAACAAGTGGGTCTCAAAATGAACATGGACAAGACGAAAATCATGTCGAATTCCCATGTCGTACCCACTCCAGTGACTGTTGGGAGCTCTACACTGGAAGTTGTTGACCAGTACGTATACCTGGGACAAATAGTCCAACTGGGTAAGTCCAACTTCCAGAAAGAGGTTAATCGACGAATCCAACTCGGCTGGGCAGCGTTCGGGAAGCTACGTAGCATCTTCTCGGAACATCTACCGCAGTGCCTCAAGACGAAAGTCTTCAATTCGTGCGTGTTGCCAGTGATGACATACGGAACCGAGACGTGGCCGCTTACAATGGGTCTTGTAAGAAGGCTCAAAGTCACCCAAAGGGCAATGGAGAGGGCTATGCTCGGAGTTTCTCTGCGTGATCGAATCAGAAATGAGGAGATACGCAAGAGAACTAAAGTCACCGACATAGCCCACAGAATTGCAAACCTTAAGTGGCAATGGGCAGGGCACATTGCTCGCAGGACCGATGGCCGTTGGGGCGGAAAGGTCGTCGAGTGGCGACCGCGTACCGGGAGACGCAATGTTGGCAGGCCCCCCACAAGGTGGACCGACGATCTGGTAAAGGTCGCGGGAAGCCGCTGGATGCGGGCAGCATGGGACCGATCGTTGTGGAAATCTATGGGGGAGGCCTATGTCCAACAGTGGACGTCTTTCGGCTGAAATGATGAATGATGATGATGACCTGTAAATTATTATCTTATTATATATTTATTTATTTTTTAGGTTCCAAGTTCGGAACAAGAATGGAAACAAATAAGTTGTGAATTCGAAATACGATGGAATTTTCCACATTGCATTGGGGCCATTGATGGGAAACACGTTATGATTGTGGCGCCAAATAATTCTGGAAGTGAATACTACAATTATAAAAATCAGTTCAGCATGGTACTTATGGCAATTGCAGATGGCAATTACAACTTTATTTACGCAAATTATGGAGCTAAGGGTCGGTCGTCCGACAGTGGAATATTTCAAGAAACACCGTTTTATAATGCATTGTTAGAAAACTCACTTAAACTGCCACGGCCTGAACCAATAACACAAGGCGGAACAGAAATGCCGTATGTAATTGTAGGTGACAGTGCTTTCGCGCTAACGGAGAACATCATGAAACCATATCCTGGCATTCATGAACGTGGGAACAAAAAGCGTATATTCAATTACAGACTATCAAGAGCTAGGAGGATTATAGAAAATGTTTTTGGCATTTTATGTGTGGTGTTCCGTGTATTCACTAAACCTATTCCGTTAAAACCAGCCAATTGTGAACTCGTGGTAATTGCTTGTGTATATTTACATAACTTCTTAAAACGTAACTCAGTTTCCAGATCCATATATACACCTCCACAAACTTTTGATTTTGAAGACTCTGAAGGTAACCTATTAGAAGGTTCTTGGCGAAGGGAACTAAGTTCGTTTCCTATGATTGATTTGCAAAGACGGGGCAGGCCTGCATCACAATCAGCTCTTTGTATTAGAGAACAGTTTGCCGATTACTTTATAACTCCAGAGGGAAGAGTTCCATGGCAAAATAATGTAGCGTAATTGTAATAATTTTACAGACAATAGTATAAAACAATTATATACAAAAACAACTTACTGTTTTATTCATAGTATCCGTTTCACCAGAAGTAGTTGCACCACATAACAAAAATTCCAATGGCTCGTAATAAATCCATTTACATTTTTCTATTGCGCCGCTGCCTGTAGTTTTTTTTTGCCGACATCTTTTTTTTCTCTCTAGTAAATTGAGTACGCAGTACATGTATTTTAGTTTCTACGTCTTTTTTGGGTATATTTAGGACTTGAGAAATTTCTTCGAATGCATCGTTCTTTTTGTTTCTATCTTTGTATTGTTTTATAGAACAATCCCATAATAATGGTTTTGATTGAAATAATTCTATTAATTGCATTATTTTATCATTGCTCCACACTACTGCCATGTTTATAAACTGTTGCAAACTCGTCCACACACGTCAACAATTGTCGCTAAACTGATGTTTACGCTTGTCGGGCGAGAGCTTGTCAACATGATGCTGTCAACTCTGCAACACGCAGTGTTGCCAGCAACATGTTGACAGCAACTCCGCAACACGTTGATTCAACTTTGTTGCTCAACAAATGTTTCCCATGAATACGGGGCTTAAGAGACAGAGAGAAACAAAAATAAACGGCAAAGAAATAAGTTTAAAAAAATTACCCTTCCTTCTCTTTTTAGTTTTGGTTGATACATTTTCTTCTTCTACCTCAGCATGGAACTGTGAAAAAATAAATGTAACAGTAGTACAGTCAATTTGTCGAAAAAAATATCGTTTCTGTGAAAAAAAAACCTAAAGTCTTGTTTTTTCTGTTGCCAAATGACGTCAGTAAGCCACCTTGGCGATGGGCATGTTCAACTCGTAGGCGTTTTTTGAAAAACTCAAAAAAACCGTCAAAATATTTTTGAAACGAATTTTTCTTGTTTTGTATGCATTTTAGAAACTTTTTTTTTTAACCATAATTGTAGAGGGCGTTGAGTGCTACAATTTATGTCATTGTTGCAATCTCGTACAACAAAAAATGCGCATTGTAGGTGGCGCTAAAGTCTCAAAAAAGTGTTTTTTCACTTTTTCACCCTGAAAATATCATTTTAATGGAAAACTTCAAATGGCAAAGTTGTTTCGTACATAATTACCAACAACTTTTGTATAAACATTTTTTTTGTATTACTTACCGTTTCAAAGTTATAAATTGCGCTGGTATGAAAAATCCAATAGAGCGGTTTTGGGCAGTTCAAGTACACATTTGCAGTGCACTTTTCAATGTACGTTTTACTATGTTTTATTTTTTTTCATGATTGAAAAACAAAAAAAAAATTAAAAAAAATAGTTTTATTTTTATTTTTTTTCATGATTGAAAAAAAAATAGTAAAAACGTACATTGAAATGTGCACTGCAAATGTGTACTTGAACTGCCCAAAACCGCTCTATTGGATTTTTCATACCTGCGCAATTTATAACTTGAAAACGGTAAGTAATACAAAAAAATTGTTTATACAAAAGTTGTGGGTAATTATGTACGAAATAACTTTGCCATTTGAAGTTTTCCATTAAAATAATATTTTCAGGGTGAAAAAGTGAAAAAACACTTTTTTGAGACTTTAGCGCCAGCTACAATGCGCATTTTTTGTTGTACGAGATTGCAACAATGACATAAATTGTAGTACGAGTTGAACATGCCCATCGCCAAGGTGGCTTACTGACGTCATTTGGCAACAGAAAAAACAAGACTTACCCTTTAGGTTTTTTTTTCACCACTCAACCTACAGATTGACTGTACTACAGTTAGAAACTTACTTATTCGATACTACAATGCCATTCAGCACACTTAAACTTTTTATATCGCGGTTTTTGACTTGCTTTTATAGGTAATATTTTATATAATATCCTACTAATATTATAAATGTGATTTTTTCTGTTCATATGTTTGTTACTCTATCACGCAAAAACTACTGAACAGATTTGAATTAGAAAGATATAAGGTTTCAGTGGGATTCTCAGAAAAGTAAAATAAAGGCGGACGAAGTCGTGGGCGGCAGTTGTGCTCTTTATAAAGTAAGTATACGATACTTAAAACAACCAAAGACATTTCGTTGCAAATGGAATGTCATTTAGCATAATTTACCGCTAAAAGTGATCCGGTCCCTTCAAGCGCCGCAAACGCCTTCTCCAAATCTTCGGATTCTACGTGAGGAAACTCGTCCACGCCACTTGGGCACAGGAAACATTTGAACCCCACCACACCAGCTGTTACTAGTTCTTGTAGGGAATCCTGGAAAATAGTAACAAAACCAATAAACGACCAAGCATAAATAAAACAGAAAGAAAAAATACTTTGCAGAGTTCATTACTGGTTTCCGGTGACGCCTGAGAATTGCGAATAGTTGCCATAGCTAAAGGCATGTGGTCAACCACATGTGTAAGTCACCCATTAATGTGACACTAGCCGTTATCAGTATTCTCCTCGCATTATTACCTTTTCCCATGGGAAATTCTATTGCTTTATAAGATTTAAGTGTGTTTAACCACAATCACACCTGATGTGTTCTAAGGAGGAGCACACAAACTCAAATAATGCCTATTTTTTCTTGACTTGAAGATCCCTTTGTATATGTATCGAGGAATAATCCCATTCCCTACCAATTTCAAGAGCATAAAACATCAGAAAACCCGACTGCTTAAATAATAATATTCTTTATTGTATAACACCACAATGGACATAACAGTAAGATTACACTGACAGAGAGACATTACACAATGGGCGGCCTTATTGCTTAAAAGCAATCTCTTCCAGGCAACCCATGACGGAAAATTAAATAAGTATAAAGAACAAAAAAAGGGGGAAGGGTGTAAGAGCAATATTATAAAATAAAATAAAAACGGTAGTAATAATACAGGTGCATATTTATATGAAAAAAATAAACAAATAAATAAATATTACTTCAAATAAAAACTGAAAAGAAAAAAATATGTCCAGTAGTTTATAATTAAAGGAACAAAGCTACTTTAACAGTCGGGACACATTGTATATTCAAGAATGGATGAAATTTTTCGATAAAGGTTCGGAATATGAGTCATGTAGAATTATAGACTAATGGACTTGGTTTTTGGTCTTTTTTTCAGTTTTTATTTGAAGTAATATTTAAGCAGTTGGGTTTATTGTCTGCATATCACGCGTCGCGCTCTAACATTGCGCAGTCGGGTAAAAATATGCAGAGTTATTATATAACCACCTATAAGTGTAATTATAATAATGTAGAGTTTATAAAAACAAACTTGTCAATTCGATCGAAACAAAAAGATCAAATAACAAACACCCTTATAACTATAATAAAGTAAAGTCCACTCCTCACATAACCATGGTAGCTAAACTCTTCGTATGCTGGTAGCAATAGTATTCAACTTCTATCATGAAATGAGAAAATTTGAACAGCTGTATTCTTAATCTTAATATTTAAAATACTTTCTAATTGAAAAAGTAGGTACCTGGTTTCCTGCAATGACGCCACCCCAAAAACCAACGTCGACGTAAACGTTGTCCTTGGCAGATGCCACTTTGGTTTTGAGATTTTTCAAATTGGTCGTTGGTGGGATGGAATTTCTAAAAAAGAGAAATATTTATCTTATTTATTGTCAATTTATTGATTGGAATTCATTCATAAATTCATTTTCAACATAACTTAAAGCCTTCATCAGCCGTGCTATTCTGTAAGCATATAATCACTCATCACCGCGGAATCCGCGTATAATTTGAAAATAAATTAGAATACAAACTTCAAATCCTCCCGCGGTGAAAAGTGAGTTTGTTCTTACAGAATTGCAGGACAGAAATCATAAATTCTAATCTGGATAAATAAAAAACTGGCCAAGTGCGAGTCGGACTCGCATTTGTCTATACAACATTAGACACTATATTATAATATTCAGTTAAAAGGCAAAAAAATCACGTCTGTTGTATGGGAGCCCCTTATATATTTATTTTAATTTTATCATTTATTTTTATATTAAAAATACAATTTAATATTCTGTGAATATTTCAAGCGTCCTGTTTCCGGTATCAATTTAAAACAAAAAACAAAAACGGCAAAAAACCACGTTTTTTGTATGGGAGCCCCCTTTAATATTTATTTTATTATGTTTTCAGTATTTGTTGGTATAGCGGCAAAATAAATACAACATCTGTAGAAATATCAACTATCTAGCTATCACGGTTCATGAAATACAGTCTGGTGGCAGACAGGATGGACAGACAGTCATACAGACTTTGGAGTCTTAGTAATAAAGTCCCGTTTTTACTCTTTGGGTACGGAACCCTAAGAATTAATCACAATATCCCTTTTTCCCTTTTAGATTAAAATGAGCATGAAATTTGAAGACCCGTATTTAACAAAAAGTTAACTTACAACTCTTTTAGTAGCGCTACACTTGCGTTTCAGGATTTATTTATTTATATTTTTATCGGACAGGATATGCACGTTTCGTTAATAAAATAACGCGTTCAGCGTGAGCAACGCTTATAACAAAACTGCAGTGTCTTAGGTAGCCCTTAATTCTTGCTCATACAAACAGACGTAACACACCGCGTCAACTTTAAGCAGTCAAAATTTTGTAATCACGGCTCACTGAATAATTTTTGTTTGAGCAGATTATGTATTTAAACCTATTATCTCGCAAGAAAATACTGTGTTTAGAGGAAATCTATAGTTTTATTAAAATAACTCGCTTTTGTTCATTCACTGGGAAGTGTTCATTCACTGGATCACTTACCCTATACAATACGTTAAAATTACAATCGTTTTATATGACTAAAACCCGGACAGGTTTGTCGAGTCATTAAATATTCATCGTATGTTAGTTTACCGTTGGTGGTATTAACTTAGTCAAAAACTACGGTAGTCGTAACACTATATAACATAAACAGGGTAAGTACAAAATTTTGTTCAATTGCTGACCGAGAGCTACTCGTACCACTAAATATTATGTATAGGTTTTAACTGCACTGTCACGGTAATAATATCATACAGTATTCTATCTTCATACAAACGGTCAGAAAGCGAGTCATACCTACGCCACTCGAGTTCGATGGGCTCTCGGCAGGCACACAGTCGCGAATGCGCCGCCGCGCCGCAACGACGACCGAACGGTCTGAATTGTTTTTTATGCAGTTAGCCGTGCTTAAACGTGCGTTTTGTATTGTAAATATTTGATTTAATTAAGTAGATACCTACATAATTTAGTATGGAAAAGAACAAACGACGATCAATATCGTACAACAGCACAATTGCTGTTTTTGGTAGCTTGAACTCTTCAATAACACACCCAGAGATATCATTTTTTAAATTACCTGAAATATTGGAAAGGTGTCTTACCTTTATACAATATTTTTTATATATCTATCTACTAGTACGTAATTTGTTTCTAATATTTAGGTATTTCGGTTTTGCCATCGGGTAAAATATCTGGAATAATATATAAATAAGTGGTTAGGATGAAAAAAGAGGCAAACGAGTAATCTACCTACACTCGCGTTAAAGACAAAACTACATAAAATACTGTAGGCGGCCTAACGCAGCGCTCGGCCGTAGGCATTTATTTTCAAGGACAGGGCGGAGTCACAATACTGTATAGATAACATTACCGTGGCACTGTCGTTTATTCCCTTTCTAGAGTATTGTCAATTTCATGCGAATGTTCTCAATCCATTTTCCTTTTCAGTCGCGACTCTACCCATAGCTCACTGTGTGCGTTTCACACGGGCGCAGTGATCTTAGGCCGTATACAGAAAGAAAGCCGAAAAGATCCTTTTTCTATGGACCGGCGCCGATCGGCGCTGATAAGCGCCGACACGCGCTGGTCCGAATAATAAATAATTTGTATTTGAATTATTATCCTTAGATTAAATCAATCTAAGTTATAATCTTTTTATAAATCTAATAACTTTATCTTTTATTAACTAAGCGCTAAAATTATTTGTTTCGTACTTACCGAATGGTGACAACAAGTCTTTCTTCTGGAAGGATTGGTTGTTTATGCCAATTGCCCCAATTTTTCATCAAACGGTTTTTCACTAAATCCAAAATGTAATAAAATGTTTCTTGAATCATTCTTGTATATGTATAAAATCTTTGTTCATAAAATTTATTTTTTTTTACAAAAAATGATGGTATTCTCCGAAACGTTTCCTTTCTCTATTTATAGGATGTATAGCTGTTTTTCGCATTTTTAAATAAACATTTTCTAACAAAACCAAATCATCGTCCGATGAGTACGACATTTTGCTTGATCAGCTTTAATCGGCTTCCTTTATGTAGGAAGGATCGGCGCCGACAGGCGCCGATAAGCGCCGATCGGCTTTCGGCTTTCTTTCTGTATACGGCCTTAGGGTGCGGCCAGAGTGCACTCAGATTCAGATTCAGATTCAGATTTCGAAAACAAGCGCGAGAAATAAACAATGTAGTCGAAGGGTACGGCCAGATTGCACTCCTGATTCAGATTCAGATTCGGACACAGAAAACAAAGCGCGAGAAAAAGCAGGCAACCTGCTTAGACTACACTGTTTATTTCTCGCGCTTGTTTTCAGAATCTGAATCTGACTCTGAATCTGAGTGCACTCTGGCCGCACCCTTAGGGAAGAAGCGCCAGTCGCCACCCTTCTTGATGTTGATGTCCCCGGCCACAGCGGCGCTGCTAGCGGTGCTGTACCCGTCCCACGCGGTGCGGCCCGGCTCGTTCACGTGCGACTCCACGACCCCAGCCAATAGCACCGCGTCACTACCTACAGTCTGTCTGACCACGTATTAGTACCGTACAGGGGCATGTCGACTATGGCGGTGATGCTACCGCCAACGCGGAAACGCGGTGGCGGTGTGGTACCCCTTCCACGGAATGCCGCGCCACCCAACTCGTTCACGCGTGCATATGCAAGTCCACGACTCTAGCTAGTAGCGCCGCGTCACCACCTATGGCCTGTCTGACCAGGTATTAGTACCGTACAGGGGCAAGTCGACGATGATGTTGATGTCCCCGGCCGCAGCGCCGCTGGTGGCGATGCTGTACCCCTCCCACATGGTGCGGCCCGACTCGTTCACATGCGACTCCACGACCCCAGCCAATAGCACCGCGTCACTACCTACAGTCTGTCAGTGATGCTACCGGCAACGCGGGACCCCTTCCACGGAATGCCGCGCCGCCCGGCTCGTTCACGCGTGCACCGCGCCGCGTCACCACCTATGGCCTGTCTGACCACACATTAGTACCGTACAGGGGCATGTCGACAATGGTGGTGATGCCGCCGGCCGCGGCAGCGCTGGTGGCGGTGCGGTACCCCTCCCACGCGGTGCGGCCTGGCTCGTTCACGTGCACATGCGAGTCCACCACTCCAGCCAGCAATGCTGCGTCACCCCCGTCAATCACCTACATAATTGTAAAAATAATTGAGCACGTTACTTAAAAATAAAATTAAATAAAGTAAAACTCCTACGATCATCACCGTCAGTCCCCACTACTATTGAGGCCCCAGCAAAGAATAGGGAGGACGGGCCCACCATGGGTCAGCGCGGTATATATTTAGATAGGTAGTTACTAACGGATACAGATTTAACCGGCATCCACGGCATTACATACTTTATAAAGCACACAGAAGTTCAAGTCATTAAATTTATGGTCACCCATTCGGTTATCAGGTCATTGCGAAAGTTGCTTAACTTTCACGATCGCAGAGCGAACGTGCTAATGATCGAGCACATTTAAATAAATACGGCCCAACAACACGGATTGGTAACGGATGCAGATGTAACCGGCAGCAACGGTATAATGTGCCTTCTGAAGCACGAAGGACCACGAGATGATAAATTTTCGTAACCCATCCTGACTTTTTTTGCTATCAGGCACGCTGACCGCACTCCCTAACAACTGAGGCGGCGACCTTCTCCACCACGACCTAGACATAACCTGAAGAGCTGTAATCTGAGAAGCCAGTTTATCATAATACGCTACATTGACAACCGATGCTGCGATCTTGCTTCTTAGAGCGCAAAGACCAATTTTTACAACGTTAGTCCATTAAAAATACGACACGCCTTCGCTGATCTTTTGTTTCTACATAAAATACCTACTGGTAGCATTGAATCGTCGGACCTGCTAGTGACCCTTCAGTCACAATACAATACAACAATAACAAAACAATAAGCTCAAAATAATAAAATTATACAATAAAAATAAGTATTCATAAGTATAATATTTTAATTTAATGCATATTTCATTATTATTACCATTTCTATTAGAATCTCGGTCATTACATTATATCAATATATTAAATTATTTTAATTAAATAGTGAGTAGTTTAGATTAGAACAGATAGTAAGTACCTATTTGCTATTTCATTGCGTTAAAAATTCGTCTACTGCAATTAGTAGTCCAAAGATAAAATTACCAGAGTCAATGTCACGGTAATAGTTAAGACCTTGGATATTTTTGTCTAATAAATTGAACCATTATTATTTTCCATGGATTCATTATGCCTGTTGTCTTTTCTACACTTTTTAAATATAACAAGATTCTGTTCCAAAAATATCGTTAAGTCGTCCACTGCAATCACGCGTGAAGGTCAGTTTAGAAAACTGAGACCATCTTTACATTATCCATATTATTGCACTCTGTTTTGGCAAAAACACCGAATCTTATTAAAACGTTTGCCAAGAAACATTTAAACAGTTATTATTTTATAGCCTCACATTTATCTATCTTAAACTTTTTTCAATTTCTTTTTTTTTGTTCGGAATCCAGATCTAAACCGGCTTATATTTTTGTGAACATTTATAAAACAGGTTCCAAATATCCTATCCCTTGTAAGAGATAAGCTTATCCTAGTCATTTAAAGCACCTAACTAAAAGTAATGGTATTTAGGCAATTTAAACATACAACAGTAATATTTAGGCAACTTAATGTTGTCATACTTGTCATAAATTTATCATGTTAAAATTATCAGTCCCAGACTGATAGGTGCATAAAAAGTTTTTTTTCCTGTACAAAAATACACTAGACAACAAAATCTGACAAATCTACTTTAAACCTTATCGCGCTGTTCGCAAACTTCAAACAAGATTGAGAAGTGTGATGCAAGGTCTACGCAATGAAATCATCATTGTTGCTCTTGTATGCCAATGCAAGAGATTCTTGTATATTGAGATTATTAATTTCATACAATACATCACCTGTTAGTTACCTAATTGCATATACAATAAAGCCATTTTACTTATATTTGACCTTGATCTTCCCATCTTCTTCAGCCAGAAGTTTGTCCGCTTCTTCTCTGCTCAAAATTTTTTCTATAACACCTTTACCGTCGACCAACACGCCGCCATTGATAATTTCGTCTTCGGTAACTATTCTCTTGCTCAGAAACAGTTGACGACATTCTAAAGCCATTAATTTAGCGAAATAAACGACCGACACAGACGTTACACAGATCACTACTACTAGCACAACAGCATACTTTACCTTGTTATCATGTTATTGCCTACCATGCGAACCGTTCGAATATTGTGCGCACAAACAATCGATAAGCGTGATGAAATAATAGATAAATGACTCGGTCAACATGATTATATCGCATCTCATTGGGTTGCTGTTGCCAAGTGCACGAATTGTGTGAGCATTGTCTTTTAACAGAAACTAAACGGAAACGCAAAAACTTAAGGAAAATTATAAATATAAACTGATCTTTTTAATCCAATGTAATCAATAAGGTTTCACGCCTCCTGGGTGGCCCATTTGGTCAAACAAATTTTATAACTGATGCAACGGCCGAAACATTCAGTTTGTTGTCTTTTTTTATTTCGACTTTTTGGTATGATTGATGTGATATATATATATGTATATGTATATAGACAACCCAGCCCAAAAATGATCATTATTGTACTTCTAGTAGCCAGTTAGTGCAACGACAGCGCATACAACTCTACTCCAAAAGTCCATGAATATGAATCCTGGAACGGGTATTAATTTGTGATCAGCTCAAATACTTCTATCTAAGGCATAGCAAGAATATTGATATATTATTAGCTGACCCTGCGAACTTCGTACTGCCATATAAATAGGGGGCAGGTGGAAGAAGATTCATCCTAACCCATATGAGAACACTACGTTACAATACCCAATAGCTTGAATTTTGGCGCGAAGGCGCATTGTAGGTTTCAGAACACTACGTTACAGGTGGACAACCTTTATCACAAAAATAGATAGTAGCCGATTCTCAGACCCACGGAACATGCATATAAAATTTTATAAAAGTCGGTCAGGCCGTTTCGGAGGAGTATGGTAACTAACATTGTGACACAAGAATTTTATACATTAGATTTAACAGAGGTAGAGCAAAGCGAATTTCCTGCTTGAATTGGAGCGCCTGTCTGGAGAAACAACCTCCACCTTACAGAAGACCACAGTAAAATAACACTTAGTACCTTTTGGTGGTGTTGTGTTGCAGCTGGTAAATAGGATATTCCAGGACTCCGCGGGGTAGGGGATTGGCTTCAGGCCGGCGCGGCGGTGAGGATGGCTGGAGCGGCACATTTTTCTGCCGCATCTTCTATCTTCGTGACTGGACTCCACTTGCACTTAACATCGGGTAAAAATGTATTGTGTGCATAATCCATAGCACAAATTCTTATCAGCTCTTCAACCCGGGTATGTCCGGGAGAAACTCAAAAATACTGCATGGATTTACTTAAATTTTGGCCCGAAAATTATTAAAAAGTCGGGTCAACATATAGGCGGCTACATATTATCACGCTATTACCTATGGGGAACGAAAAATGAACGTTTATTTCTAACTAACTCCACGCGTACGAAGTCACGGGCGGCCGCTAGTTGTTATATAAAAATGTGATGACAGGTTGTCATCTTACAATAGTTTCGTTTACTATTTGGCAACTTTCTTCTATAGGGTACAAAATTAACTGCTTCAAATAAAATGTTGAATTTTTATTAGTGTTTGCGATAAGACCCCGTTCAGCCATATTGAGTATCACAAAATCTAGATAAAAAGATAATAATAATATAGAAATTAGCTAACCATGTATATTATTTATTTAACACAAGCTTATTTTAAATTTAAACGCGAAAGTAATTTCAAAAAAGTTAAAAGTATAATTCAACTTCAGAAAGACAATAGAATGACTAACCGCGAACTGACAGGATTATAAATATAAATTGACAAACGAATTTAATAAAAAACACTCCTAATTTATTTTAATTAGGTTGGAGCTCAGAATTGGAAAACCAATTTTAGTTTTATATTTTACAAATAGACGAAGCACCTATATTTAATTTTTTTACCATTCTTTATAGGTATGTCTCAATTCATAAACTCAAGCAAGTTCTAAGGTAATCTTCCATTATTTTTCAATTATTTGAAAAACAATGGAACAATTTGAACATTTTTTTATATTATTTATGCTCGCCAGGTGATTCCCTATTCACCAAGTTAGGATCTCGTTATGGTATCCTGGACAAATATTGGGACATATATTAATTATTAATATATCTTCAAAAATTTTAGGCAAATCTTTAGTACAGGGTTTTCCAATAAGAACTGGTATCTTTGACAGCTTATTGTGGACATATTAGATCGTCTATTGGTACAACTTTTAGGTATATACATTATTAAATAATTATTAAAAGTATTGAATACAATATCCAGATATAAATAATTTAAAAGGTGTAAAAGACCCAGAATTTTAAGTGGAAAATAAAAATCGACAAATAACATATATTTTGTGTTAATTTAGATACTAAAATAAATGCATTCCAAAATTTATCTAAATCCCTTCGACCATTTTTAATTTAATAATTATGCTTTTGATTCAGTTTAGAAAATCAACTCCTATAATCGTTTCTGTTAACGCCACAATACTCGCCTCTTGAGTGTTGAGACCATTAGCGAAAACCTAGGTCCGTTCTCGAGATAGACAAAAATTCTACGTAACCAAAGTACCTACCGATTGTGTTGTGTCAGCCATAAGTCACTTGTAATGATTATTACATTACAAAAGCTTGGCAGCTTGGTGCGTGGGCGCAAGCGATTGTGTGACATCGATGTTGACGAATAACTCGAAATGCCAATGGCCCACCTTGAACTTGACCAAGAACTTGCACGGGATGCTCCCGACGGGCCGCAACTAAGATAATATTTAAGCCCAAAGCCCCGTACCATGGAAATTCTTAACGCAACTCGATTCTGACATACTGAGTATTATCGAAGTAAGAATTTGGGGTGCCTCACGCCGTTGCGGCACTTCATGATAGGTTTTTGTTTCATACGTTGTCCTGCTTGATATTAAAAAGAAATAGTTAAGTTTTCATAAATTTTCTAGTATCCTGCGCAACTTCTTCTGTAAGAACTTTCCGCGATAACTGCTTATCGAGAACCTTAAAAAATATGGAGGCATTCGGTAAAGATTTATCTATGGCGTGACCAAGGGCAATAGGGATTTTTTTTATTGTATCTAGAAGATAAGTAAGCTACTAACACTCCGATACAGCGCTATATCCGCCCTCTACTCTCTCCTAGCAAATAAATATTTTCAACACTCACACCAATTAGCCTAGCCCTAAAGTAAGCACTGTAGACTTGTGTTACGGGATACTAGGGTAACAGATAGCATACATATATAAGTATATTTATATAGAAATACATATTAAACATCCATGACTGGAGTACAAATGCTCGTATTCATCACACAAACATCTGCCCCCACCGATATTTCCCTTCTCCCAATACATTTCATGGCAGTATTCAATAAGGCATCACCTGAAATGAATTTATATCATTTCGTGTTTAATTGAATCAAGCAAGTATAGGTATCATACATTATTAAGAGAGCTATGAAAAAATGATATTTGAGTGTTACTTTGTTTAAAATATTTGTTGTTTGATAGGTATCCTAAATAATTGTAATTGGTATCTATATCCAACGTTGCGTCCTATTGACGACGTTTGGATAGTACTGAGTCTTTAGCCTATGGTATGGCTCAGTATTCAATGTTAATCGAAAATAAAGCAACAGTTAAAAACTTGCCTTGAACTAAAATGCCGACTTGTTTATAAACAAGTCGGCATTTTAATTCTGTATACAGAAGCCCTTTAAAAGGGCACAGATGTCTATTATTGACAGATAGCTTACTACAAATAAGATGTTCCCTTATTAGCACGTTAAATGCGATTCTTATCTTTATTTGACCGTTTTTAATAATCAATTCTGTATTACTTCGAAGAGCTCGATGTTTCATGAGTTAAAGTTAAAGCGTTGGGTCTGCGATTTTCGGTCCAAAGCCTTTTATGAGCTCCTCTCCTCGTTTGGCGTTTTTTCCTTCTAGTACTATGCGTTACGCGCGTTCCTTAATCTTACGTGTGTGCCAGATCTGGAACGAACTTCTTTCGGGGGGTTTTCCTTTTATCTATGATATGACGTAATAACAGTCTTCAAAAGACGAGTAAACCTTTTCCTTCAGAGCTGACAACTCTTGGTGCTGCAAGTGTCCATGGGTGGCAGTGACTTACCATCAAATGGACTCATCATCAGCCTATTAAGGTCCCCACTGCTGGGGCACAGGCTTTCAGTGCGCATTGGCGGGTGCTAACTCGCGGGTTCTCTCTAGGGTTTCCTACAACGGTCACCACGGAATCTAATTACTTAGTCTACAATGTCCGCCCATCAATATGTAGGAGGACAGTAACCTGCGAAATTTAATTTTTTTCGAGGTGCCCGAATTCGAGTAATGTCTTTCGTGCACCCGAATACAGGCTAATGACAAAATGCGATTGCGGCATTTTAATTTTCTAAAATGGTTCGGAACCCTTCATGTATTACGCCCGCTCGAACTGGGTCGGTGTTTATCAACTTTGTCGTATGCTAAGCTACACTTACTACATACATACATATGTGTGTATGTCCCTATAGCAGCATGAACATTCTTTAGTCTAGAATACTAAAATCTCACCAGCTTTAAACAATACTTCCTAAAAGAAGCTAGGTCACATGTCCAGGTCACGTTGAACAAGGGCAATGCCAATTTCAGGGTCCACTTGCCGGTGTACAGTTAGGTGGCGGCGGGGAACAATGCGGCTGACATTGGCGGGAAGAAAGGCTGGCACGCTACATGCATAGCAATCGCAGCGCCCGCGCCGCCGCGCCAACTACTATGCGCCTGCACCACACTACCACATGACTAAAGTGTACAGAGGTAGGTAGGTAAGGTACTTCATGCAGTGCGCGTGTGTGAGTGAGCACTGGCAGTCTGTCGTCACCAATACGAACGTTTCTCTTACGCGACAGGCCACCAATGCTCCACCACACACACGCCATATATGAAGCGTTGTCTCTTCGCCTTCTTTTCTCACGTTGCCACCTCAGCACCTACTAGAAAAATAAAATCGATAGTTAGAACGAAGTTTGTAATTTATTTGTTTATATTTTAAACCACAACGCGTCCAGAAACAGAGTTGAAATTAAGCATACATGCAACAAACCTCGGCCGCAACTTCCTTTATATTTTTGTTGTTGTAGGCTCTCTGATTCTTACGGCAGAGACGCACAACAATTTCGTACTAAACAATTTTACTTATGGTTTCGTAGCGAATAAATTGTGTTCTGTAATTAAATTAAAGAAAACGAAAATATTTTATTATTTCATTGTAACAAAAACTCTATTGTGTAACTTACTATATCCGTAAATTGTGACAGTTAACTAGATGTATTTATAAATATAATAGTAAGTTATATCACTGATATAAGAAAAAAAATAACAAAAAATAAAACTGACTTCAAAATTGAAAATGGAACTAAAAAGTACTATTTAATAAGTTTTATATTTTGTTTAAAAAACATTTATTTCAACCATTTGAGTGAAAATCACATCGTCCAAGTAAACGATAAACGAAAATGCTCATTAAATAAAAACTACTGGATCAAACAAAATATTTTTTTATGAAAACAAACGACAAGTATCTTCAATTGAACAAAAGAAGAATCACTCAAATTGGACCAGAAGTAATCGGTGTACACATAAACAAAGTATCGTGAAAATTACATCGTCCAAGTAATAATATTTTTTATAAGAAGGTTTCCCTCAATTTCCCCGGATTCCACCATCAGATCCTGACTTGGTTCCAATAGGACTACCTCGGAAGTGCACTCTTTCGAATAAAAAGAGAATTTTGGAAATCGGTCCACAATGAACGGAGAAATCAGTGAACATACATAAAAAAATATCTTTTTCTTGAAGTCGGTTAAAAATGGACTTTACTCTAAAACCTACTTACCTAAATTCTATTTTAGTCAACCAAATGTTGAAAATTAACAGTGTTATATATATATGTGTGTGTTTTATTCTTACTTTCACGCTAACTTGAAGCTAAGACATAGTGAACTATCCACTCGGATTGAGGCGCCCATTTGGGACACTAATAATTCATTTTACAAAAGAACAAACTTAAAAAAACGCTACTTATTCTTTATCTATGAGTTCCGTATCGAGTAACATTTCCGCGTTTTTATCACGCTCAATTGCCAAATTACTATGGAGTTTGACAGTTAGACTCGATAAAAACGTGATATACCTAATGTTAATTTAGGTACTCATGCTACAGGGACCGGGCTGAAAATGTTAGAGGATAGTTAGGTTAGGTTAGTTCGTTAGCGTTAGCGTTAGCATCTATATAGACTATGTGGCCACTACCAAATAATCAGGCGGCCCGTTTTAGAAAAAAACAAAGTCATCATGCTACTTATATATAACTTGAAAGGACATTGTTCAGCGTCCATACATAGTTAGCCTAAGAACCAACAATCAGAAATATTATTTTCTAGGTTCAAAATCGTAAGTAAATGACTGTAGAAACAAAGATTATTGACGGACACTTCTGAGAACTTAAATTATTAGGAAAACTAAATTTTTTTTAAGGTTATGTTTAATATTCAATGAAACATAGGTCAACCTATCAATTTAGTATGAACTCAGTATGAAGTGAATTAATATTACAACTAATTCATTTTATTCGGTGCGATTTTAAAGAATAACTATTAGGAAAAACTTGGTTAGGTAGGAATCATGAATAAAATAAAAACTGTAGTTTTGCTTCTTATATATTGACTATTTTTCACATAATTGTATCATATTGTTTATTGTATTTATTTGGTTATCACATGTATATTGTGTAAATATGCAGCATGAATGTGTATCAGGTGTTCTTGAATAATTTGGCAGTATGATCCTCTCAGGATGTTGTGACACAGGTTCACTAGCACTTGGTAATAAGGGCTCTGCTTTTTGGTAACATCGATGGTATATTAGATAGCCGAAATAGTTAAATTAAAGGAAAAACAATCGCAAATAAACACACACAACAGGTAATCCGAAACGAGAATGCACTTTCCGGTATAATAAACTACTCTTTGGAATGCACGAATGCCACAGATTACTACGAATGCAAACTGCATGCACCACAACCACAGAGTAACAGTTTTATGCCGGCCCTTCACTTGACAACAGTTTGTCCTTGTCATGCTTAATAAGGAATGAAAAGGACAGACTGATGTCATGTTTTAAAATAGCAAATACAAATAGCCAAGTGAAGTGCCGGCATTAGGAAGAAAGAGTGTTTTGTTTGCAGCGCTGCCGTAGATTATACACATAAAATGGTATTTATTGTCACAGATTATTTTTTAACTTTTTCATTTAGCTTACTTAACTGGAAGTGTCCGTCAGAATCTAAATACTGATAATTATCGCAAAAAATATACTAAGAATTATCATAAATGCCAAATTGGTTTGGTTCTTAGGCCAATTTTAACATTGTCCTTTTCTTTGTTAGGTTGAGCAGCCCTGGCGTTATAAAGGCATAGTAAGCATATCGTAGCCTAAGGATGCGTATAGGAAAGTTACTTGGGGCAAAGTACGAACTAACTATACGACTAACAAAAACAGTGCCAATGAAATCAGTGTACGAGTGTTAGTTGGTTAAAGTTTTTGTTTTAATTACGTGTATCATACATAGCGTAAGTGAAAATATCTCAGGTAAGTTTGTGAGTTTTAAATTGACTCTAAACCTAAATGGGCCTAATTTAATGAAATATAATATAAAATATTTTAAAGGAGATTACTTTATGTCTCGTTGATACTTGCTTTAGCTTGGTAGTTACATATTATATTTAACCCAGGGCTCTTATTAACATACAAATTTGAATAAATTTACCCATGAACAAGATCCAATATAATTTAAATAGGTATGTGTGAATGAAAATATCAAAAAATGAGTGAATGAACCTTGACTTGTATTGAGCAAGATTCGAAGCCGCAACTTTAAAAGGAATAAACATTTTTGTACATTTATTGTATAATTTCGAAAATAAACCTTTATGAGTTAAAGTTTCCTTTATTTAAATTTTAAGATATTGTATTCCAAAAAAAAATAATCATCGCTTTTAGGATATCGTTAATTTTTACTGATTAATAGTGAAATAGATTGTAAACGATTTATACTAATAAAGAATGAAATCCATGACTGCCATAACTCAGACAAAAAACCGGTAGGTATAACATTTTTACTAAATGTTAGTAAGTAATAGTCAAGATTAATAGAACATCTGTTTGTCAATTGCCATGGAAAGATACATAAATTTTAGAGGAACTGGTTAAGCTCAAACCGTTTTTATTAACAGCAAGACATTGAGTGCCCAACCTATAATACTAAATATTTAGTTGCTACATAACATCTGTGATATAAAATTATTGACTTAGCAATATTTTCCAAAAAAAAAACTTGTAAGAAAAAAGTTAGCGTATAAAGTTTTATTATTGCGCCAGTTAGTCGCACTTAACAGGAATCCAATCCCCAAACCCGCGAAGACCTCAAAACTTGAATAAGGTTTTTCTTCGCGGGCTTGGCCTGGCTACAGAAAAACAACACAAAAATTAAGTAGTGTCATTTCACTGTGATGTTCTGTAAATAATAGAAAAACTAAAAAAGCTTTATGTGACAGTTCGAAAGAAAAAACCGGTATACCCTATCTGTATTAAAACGTCACTAAGAACGTGTTTCTTATATTTCCACGCATATCAATGATTTATTTATTCCGTCTTGTGATTACGGAACCAGAAAAGAATACAAATAATGCGAAAATCCGAAAAAAAAATTATGACCCTAAGTAGACTTTCTTTGACTTTCCCTCGTTTCCAGTCCAGTTTAATAATTACTTACATACAAAGTTACTAATATCATAAACAATAAAGTTACTAGCCCCAAAGTAAGCACTATAAGGCTTGTGTTATGGGATGCTAGGGTAACGGATAGAATACATATACTGTACATATATAAGTATATTTATATAAATACATATTAAACATCCATGACTGGAGTACAAATGCTCGTATTCATCACACAAACATCTGCCCCCACCGGGATTCGAACCCGGGACCTCTCAAGTCGGCGACAGCCATGAAACCCGGCGTACAAACCACTCAGCCACGGAGGTCGTCAATACTAAAAGATAAAAAATCTTTTATATAAATTTCAAAAATTCAACTACTTAAGTAGTTTAAAACGCGCACATTAGTGAAGGTTTTCCATAATTATTTATAGCCTGCGCAGACGACAGAGATGTCTGGGTCTGGGTCTGGGTCTGGGTCTGGGTCTGGGTCTGGGTCTGGGTCTGGGTCTGGGTCTGGGTCTGGGTCTGGGTCTGGGTCTGGGTCTGGGTCTGGGTCTGGGTCTGGGTCTGGGTCTGGGTCTGGGTCTGGGTCTGGGTCTGGTTCTGAGGCTGGGTGTGGGTTGGGTAACTAGGGGGGTTTGGGTGGGTTATTATGCTTTCACTATGATATTGAATAAAACAATGTTCTACGATCTTTCGGAATGATAATTAAATAGAGTTTAAGCGTAAAGCGATGCAAAACATACAAACAACATACTTGAGGTTGATTTAATCACTGAAATCACATGAAATACTAGGCTCAAAAGACATGACGCTAAGCCATAATAAAAAACAATATTACTTAATAATTACTCAATTGACTTTCCAGACTTAGACAACCCTTCTCTTTTATTTGATAAACCTGTTAAGATTATTTTATTTGCATTTCTGATGATGAAATCTATAGACGCTAAAGAATTCCTTCTACAAATATTTCGCCATTGTCCTTTCGGTCGGATACTCTTTTTTTGATGTTTCATATAAAGGAGTTAATTTTTTCACTTCTTTCACTATCAATCGCGCCCCGCGGACTAAAGTCCCTAATCCCCCAGGCTATTAAAGCCAACTTTTCGTCTAGGTTACACCGGCCGTGTTACGGGGTGAACCCTTCATAAAGTAACGAACGCCAAAGTTTAAAAATACATAATACCTACTATTTATAGATATTGCAAAGGTAATCATTATCCATTATCATACAGGGGTAAACGTGTCCCCGAATTCCGCTAATAAACATACATTATAACCATGAGCGTGGGTGAGAGATGAGTCCGATGACACGGAGTATTTAACACTAAGCGACGCACACGCCGCCCGATCAGTCGCACCAAGACCAAAACCGCGGGCTCCTGCCTGACTGACCGCACCACTACCTCGACCGTACATTAAACCGTACTAGTAAACTATAGGTAAACAAAATACACCCCCATACATACGCCAACGGAAATCACAATGTACCATTGAAGTGCTCACAGTTTTCTTTCTTTTTCACAATTACAGATAAGTTCGGGAAGTGTAAAAGAAAACATAACCCCGTTATGGGGAAAATCACTTTGGTAAGTGTTTAAAGTGAATTTTTTCTTATAAAAACTTCGGGATAGGATTAATTACTTTTTTTTCCTTGGATTAATAACTGATTATTCAACATTATTTTCAGAAGTTGATAAATTCTTTACATGAGATTACACAATAAGTTAATCTTATTACAATTAAGGTGCATATTTATAATTAATAAGCCATAACAAACATAGCTAAATAAAAATAAGAACTAATAGAACCAGAAAATATAAGCTGATAAAAAATAAGCTCCAATGCAATTTATTGGACATTCACAATTCTGAAAATTCTTAACCAGAAAGAAGTAAAGGGTAATTTGTCCTAATTTTCTTTCACATAGAGCCAAGTTAAAAACTCCCATGAACAACCTACTTCTCGATAAAAATAAATTTATAAAAAAGTATATTTTTCTTTAGTTATTCTTGTTAGTAAAATATTAATTACTTAATCAATTAATATTTTGATAGAGATACATACTTATTTGAAAAAACACTTTTGTAACATCTTTCGAATATAATAATTATGAATAGATAAGAAAAAACATTAGAACATATTATGTAAATTGATTTTAATATTATTAAAAAATATAATGTAATGATGACAGTGACACAGTTTATAATGACTTTACCAATTAAAAGAGCAATGACTTTATCTCTCGGTATTTTCCCAATGTTAATAAATTATTTTCTTTGTTTTTCTATTGTTAGTAGGTACTACCCTAAGTTGCTCTGATGTTATTAAAGTACTAATACTAATTTCATACCCTTTTACAGTATGCATTTCCTACTATCCAAACGTTGAATATTCAATGTTTATAAAGTTATTCGGGAACAGCACTGCCTTGTAGGCCAGCAGGACTTGCGAGACAAGTACCCACACGCCGCTGCTGCTATCAGAGGTTTATAAAGAGATCAATAAATTATAATATTGTGGATTAAAATATATAAATTTTCATTGTATTTGCAATTATGAGAAACCTAAACTGAGACAGTCTTTTAATAATATAAAGTTTCTTATACCAACTATTTTAATGTATTTTATCAGTTTTTCTTCATATTTATATAAATTTAGCAAAAAAGTAATTAAATTGCATAGAAAAATGCTGAACTACTTGATACAAAACACTTTGATATTTAATCAATCTAGATTGTAAAATGTCAACAATTATTTTTAGTTGACCTATTTGATTCTCTTAAGCAAATTGTTTTTGTTGGTATCAACCTTATAACGTTACATTAGGAAACTTATTTGTTGAAAATAATAAGTATAAAGATTTTATAGCTCAGACTTTTTGTATTTTTTTACGAAAGCGCTCGTTTATATCTTCTCCTCGAAATAAGTTTGAAACTTTGTTTCTTTAAGGTGCTTCCGATTGCTTTCGATCCCGGCTGCAGGCTGCAGATGCAGGCAGTATGTGCAGCTGCAACCGGGTTCGGAATGTATTTCATACTAATATAAACCAGTCATGCATCAGAAGCCTGCAGCCGATCGGAAAAGCACTTTAAGTAGTACTATTTGCGTTTAGTTTTATTTGTAATTACGGTTAAATACATTATGCGAACTGTTTGAAGAGTAGGTTACTGTTCTGATATAAAGGTATAAATGAAAATATCTGCATAAAGTATGCGAGCCACGTGCAAGGATACTCCATGTACTACTAACATACCTACGGCCTTCCTGACTGCCGCTTTATTAGAATTTTATTATTGTTTACAAATTCCATGCGCTAACAAACACACGATGTCGTGTAGGAAAGAAAATACGACCATACGTAAAAAAAATATTTAATGGTAAACACGGTCACTCCTAGGACTGCAAGTCAAAATAGAAATCGAATTAATAAAGTAATAAAATTTGCATATTTTACGATGTTTTCAAGAAAAGTAATGATTTGTTATTTATAAAACAAAAGAAACGTTATAAATTTTATAAGTAAAATTTTATTATCAAAACTCGTTCTGTACTTTTATGTAGAAATCTGCTTTCTGCTAACTTTCCGTAAAAAAATATCAAGATGATAAAAATCGTATCAAAATCAGTTGCGTGGTTTAGGTAGAGACTTTGTACATATTAATATGTATACATTGTGTTTTTGTGTTATCAATTCATCGATCTTGCAAAAGGAAATCTAATTTAATTGAAAGGAAAACTTACTTTGAAGGGAGAATTTATCTAGGCACATTAGAAAAAAATTGTGTGTGTCAGCTCCGACGCACGACTGGACTCTACTCCTTAAGTTCGATAGTCTAACCAGACGCAAAAAGAGTTTATTTAACTTAAAAAAGATTGATACTGTATGAAAGGGTAAATTAACAAATTAATGAAAATAATATACATATATAAATACATATTTATTCATTTCATATACATTTATTATAACTAATCAACGAAATAGATACATTAAACTTTTTACAATAGTCAATTTCAGATGTGCATAAATATATCATTAGGAATGTTGATAAATTATGTAATTATTATTATGAGTCTATTATATATTTTTAGAATATTAATTAAATCAACATTGTCTGCATTATTAATTACAGTGACAAGTGGTTTATGGTAACTAAAATAAGACACATGGACGTTCGTAGATACGTGGTTCACGAATCTTGAAAATACCGCATGAATGGTTGTACCATACCTCGTTGTCCCCATTGCTCTATCAGAAACAATATCTAAATTCAGTTCAGATTTTAAAAATTTTATTAATGTCAATCCGTCATCTTTGTTTGTCAAAGTTGCGCGACATAGGATGCGCACCAAAAACGTAACGAGGTCATTCATCGATAGATTTTACTCCTCACATTTTTCTCATACCGGGCCCCTTATATATGCAAATCGATTCTTAAGGAGTAAACTCCAAAAAATATGGGGGAAAAGCACTCGCATGATCATCACCGACATTATTTAGCCGCGTGCGCATAGCGCGTTCCAGCATGCGTATTCTGCTAAGATAAAAGTAATAATCGTGTGTCAACGACTTATAAATAGTTCTGATTTTTAATACAGTTATTGTTTCTAAAACACAAATTAACAAACTTATTTGCTCTCTCATTTGTTATACCTCGACTGCAAATAAACTGGGCCAACCGCGTGTACATTGAAACTCTAATTCGATTTTTTCAAAAAGTATAAAACTTACAACTATTAAAGCAATATCTACAGAAAGTGTGTTTCATAATTATTAATATGAGTGAAAATTTATCCTAAAGTACTATCAACTTACTTTGTAATCGATCAGGAACAGCAATGCTAACAATTTGCTATTTTTTTAATAATGTCGCGATTATTGTTCTTTTTTATAAAATGAAGATAGTCTGATACTTCTTATCATTTTCTTAGGTTTTCTCCATAGTTTTCTCAGGTGTGAGTATTTTTGCTTCGTTCGTTACTTCCGAATACCACAATTGGAAAACGATTCTTCCTTGGCTTTTTTTAAATAAAAAAATAATTAATTTATTCATATCTATTAATTCTAGTTCATTTTATCACCACGAAACGCACATTTTGTAGTTATAATTTTGATAGTTGTAAGTTTTATACTTTTTGAGAAAATCAAATCAGAGTTCCGTGGTAGTAAGTAACCCAATTTATTTGCAGTCGAGTCTAGTTATATAACTAAACATAAAATAACAAATACATATATATTATGCATTTGTTATTTTATGTTTTAGTAACAGGATCTGTGTCAAAAATAGCTACTATTGAACTACAACTGAGACACGATTTTTTCGTAAGCTTAGCAAAATCGACACCCAGGGCATGCGTAGCGGACTACATACACGTTTTTGGCTACCCATGCCCTGCAACGTGCTATCCGTACACAGCTTAATAATATTATGTAGGTACCGCAAAGTGATTAATACTTATAGTATACTAATAGTATATTAATGTCTTTAAGGTACCATTATGTAGGTATCTGGGAATAATGATCATGCGAGTTCAGTGCTTTTCCCCATTAAATTTTGTGCAGTCGTAGCATTTATGACCAAATACGAGTTGGAATTGCACATAAAGAGAGTCGTACAATAGTATAAAATTGAATAAAATAAACATCTAAAATACCACGTTTGTATGGAGCGTCTTATTCAGATTTCTATACTATTCTTACTATTCATCTATTCTAATATTATAAATGCAAAAGTGTGTCTGTCTGTCTGTTACCTCTTCACGCTTAAATCACTCAACCAGTCTATTTGAAATTTCGTATAGAGAGTTCAAATCCCGGAAAAGGATATAGATTACTTTTTTGAAGTGAAAACTTATTTAGCGGTGTTGTACCTACCCTTTTTTGTATGGGTAAAAAATGTTAAACTCGCGTCAGGTTAAACACGTGGGCTGATCGCATTATGACAACAATAAAATTGGAAAGGTTGTTGTCTTTCAATATATTGGACGAAACATAGTAATATTTTATTTTATCCTATTATAATAATAAGTCTCGATCTAGGACGTCCACGTGGTAGCTTTATTGCAAAGAAAATGCATTTTTTTTACAATAGATGTCCCTAAGTGCGCTTAAACGTGATTCATGTAAGTTGATTTTTCTGAGAGATTAACTTTTTTAATGTAATATAAATTGTCATGTTTGTATACGATAGCGCAATAAATAAATATGGTATTATACCACATACATGATAGTACTTTTATACCGATAAAGCAATTCGTGCAAAATTATTCCCTAACCATTCCAAAATTTCAAAAATGCACTACGTTAATATTCAAGTTTTCACTTCTGCCGGCACTTTCGGAGTGCAACCCGTCGTTTTTTTTTATTTCATAAATCACCCTTTAAGTTGGTGTTAATGGCACCCGCTGGTATTTAATTATTTGTCATTAGTGGTAAGAGAAAATATATTCTATGAAAATGTAGACTTCTTATTTCAGTTCATAAGATATAGTTTACTGAAAGACAAGCGGACGCGCACATAGTAAAAATTAGGGTCCTTCGTGACCCTTTTCGTACGGAAACGGAACCCTAAAATATTAAGTTACTAAGTGCGTTTGGCCGTCTTGTAACATTTTATTATAGAAGGGCTAATAATAAACTGCAAATGAACGCGTTCAATGCACAAAAACAAGACTTTTTAAGAAGCCGCATAAGTAAGAATCTTCACAAAAAGAAAACATAGGTAATGTGTAAAGGGTTCAAGCAACGAAGTAGCTTGAAATAAAAAAAAAACCTGACTTAAACATGAAAAGCCACTAACTAGTAAACATTGAAACAGGTTGCAGAGATAATTTAAAAAAAGTTTTGTTTTTTAACTTTCGTCTAAAGAAGGTTCTAAACTTTAGCCCAAAAAAAAACTTTCGACATTCATTCATTAGGTTCGTTTTATTTTCGTATTCGTTTATTAGGTAATTTTTGTGCAATTATAAGTATGCAAATGGGACAAATAAATGAACTGAATCCTGGATGACCTATATATTGAAATTTTTGCAGTGAAATTCTCCAACCACTTATATTTATGCATAAAAATATGAAGACATGAATCAATATTTTTTGTATATTCATATTTATAGGTATATACTTAAGAGAAGTGTATTTCCATTTGAAAATGTTGCGGGAAATCTAATTCATTAATGTCTCAAGGGCGTGTTCAGATTTAGGTGGAATTGTCAATTTATAAATTTCATAAACCAGATTAAGTACGCGAAACAAATTAAAAAAAAGTCCTAATCGAAGGCAAATGTCACGCGAAAATACCATCGACTGCTCGGGATGGTGACATTGACCCCACGCGACTACCTGCCGATGCCTGTATGCAAATTATTATTATACGAACCAGCTTTTTTAAATCGATGTACTAAAAAAATAACGCTGTTATTATTATTGGACTTAATTTATTAGATCAACTTCTCACTCACACACATACATTCGATTCACATAAATCACTGCTTAGTCATGTCATTTTAATACTGCGACTTGTTTTGATCAAGTGCTTTAAAAGATTTAAAACAAAATCTTCCTTAATTGCATTCGGAGGCCAAAAACATTGTGTACTTATTGAACGTTGGAACAGTAAGCTTTTCTTTCATGTTGATTTGTAAATAAATTGTGTACTAACAGCCATCCACCATAATCGTTCACATGAAGAAGTAATAAAATTATCTAGATATTAGATGCCTGGATATTTTTACTGCAAGATTAAATTTTGCGATTGCTCGATCGGCAGGTACCTCAACAAAATATTACGATAGCCACGGACTTCAATATTTTTAAATTATTTCGCTTTTGGCTACAATACATAGCTATTATTTTATCATTTATAGTTTTTTTTATCGAGCAGTCGGTAGCGTAACAAAATAAAACTAATAGGAATATTTGCAGTATCACAACCTAACATTTAATTAGCAAGTGTTAATTTAACGGCAACACGAATATTAGCCGCAACATATTCTTTTTTTTTACATTGTAATGCATTAGTCAGCATTTCTCAGACATGCATTCTTCCATTGGCCATTGACTCTGTACCAAAATATACATTTCAACAGAATAAACACAAACTTTGGTGAACCAGTCTCAAGTGTTGATCTTGATTCTCGGTTCTGTCAAGTTATGTAAATTATGCAAAGGCTATGTGCGATACTTGATCAATGGTTCAATGACCGTGGCGCCTACGCTCTTAAATTTGCATTGTCAACAACGAAACCAGAATTTGCTTCATTCAACAATTTTTAAACCCAATTAGATCTTAACAGTAAAAAGATTGGCAAAGAGCATTTTTTGCGTTCAAATTCTTTGTCTCCAAAAGTAACGGTCCTTAGTGCCGTACTACACAGATGTCCCTCGATAATGGAACTCTACTGGCATTGTCGGCTGATACGTAAACAAATTTTAGAGGAGGTCAAACACCTCACACAACAGCCTTTGTTTCATAATTTTATCCGAAACGTGATACTTAAGTGGTATCAATTCAGAAATCAATGAACTAATAATGGTGCCATTTAAAACGACTAGTTTATGACTCAAATAAAATTTTAAACCGATTCCATTTCTTAGGTTGAGATTTTTTTTATCGCAATCAAAGTTATATAAAAATAAATGGATGCCGCATTAACTTGCGGAAATTTATCTCTAATTAAACGATGTTTTGATGGTGATAATTTGTGAGGAAGTACAAAAAATCAAGATATATAGAGAAGTGTTAGTTTTGTGAAATTGTTACTGAAAATGTACTAAATGTGTAATTGGGATCCACAAAAGGGCACCGCTAATTATTAACAACAAAATTTAGGTTTTCTTTAAAAGTAACATCAATATTTCCTCTTTCAATGTTCGCATTTGGTACAAACCCCAATGTACTTGACAGTGATATCTTTTTTTTCCCAGAGCATCTTGGTGCTGTGTGCAAGTGCATGGGCATCGCCGCACGCGGACACGTATTCCTTCGAACGCAGCGCGGTTGAAACCGTCCCACAGCATGATCCGATTGCTACACCTATTCGCGCTTCTGTAGAAAGCATACCTCTGAGGTGAGATATGAAAAATAAATAAAGTAAAATGTAAACATTAATTCTCGTGTCACAATATTAGTTACCATACTCCTCCGAAACAGCCTGACCGATTTTTATGAAATTTTATATGCATATTCCGTGGGTCTGAGAATCGGCTACTATCTATTTTTCATATCCTTAAGCGATATTGGTTGTCCACCTCTAACGTAGTTTTCTGAAACCTGCGCGCCTTCGCGCCTAAATTCAAACTATTGGGTATTGTAACGTAGTGTTCTAATATGGGTTAGGAGGAATGTTATCCCAGGAAATAAATAGAACACTACGTTACACACCCCTAAATTTTTTATTGGACAATTTTTTTTTTATAATTTGGTATTAAAAAATACCATGACAAAATAGATTACAAATGCTCGTATTCATGACACAAACATCTGCCCCCACGGGGGTGCGAACCAGGGACCTCTGAATAAGCGACACCTTGAAACCCGGCGTACGGCTATTTCTCCAAAATATGCATATATAATCGCTCTGGTGCTTTTTTGTTTTTTAATATTATAAGGTTTTACCTATTTATTTTTGAATATAAGAAATCGTATGATTATGTTTTTTTCTTATTATCCCGCCTTTTCTGCAAACGGTTTATGATATATATATATGTTTGAAATTATTGTGACCAGATCGATCAATAAATGATGCCAGAGCAATCAAATAATACTATAAATTATAGAAAAATAATAAATTTTAATAATATTATTACTAAAATATACTTAATAAATGAACTAGAAAAATATATATACAGGATGGAAATTTTGAATGCCACCCCCAGGGGAAGTACTCTAAATACTGGAGGTAGATAATTTTACTCAAAGGAAACATTCCTTTATTTTTAAAAAGAAACACAACTGCATTCACAGTTATTCGAAAATTTGCTTGCCACACCCGGGAATCGAACTAGCGAAAATTTGAAAAAATGACATCCTGTATTTTTATGTCACCAATCGATAGGGTCAATCATAGGGATTATATCTTACTAACAAATTTAGTACATTAAATGGAAGGAATTGCGTGAAATCTTAACTGAATGGAACAAGACTAAAAGCAGTTTTATCTCACCAGATTACACGAGTTAGTATTTTTATTATTTCGGCGTCATTTATTCGTTCAAATGACGAATAAAGAATTTTTTGCACATGTCTAAAATGCAGACTAAAGAGTAAGGTACCAGTCTCAGGGGGGGGGGGGGCGTACAACCTCTTTGGTACCAGTAATTTAAATAAGGTATGCAAAGAGGTATGTTACATATTTTTGAAAATGGAATAGCGAATTGGAACGCATTGTCTTAAGTCTTGTTTGCTGCATCAAAATTTACCATTATAAATAATGGCTTATCAAGAAGATCAAGAATTCATGCTTTTCCTTTAATTGAATGTACTAACTTTGTTAGTAAGATATGATCCCTATGATTGACCCTATCGATCAATGCCATAAAAATACAGGTGTCATTTTTTCGAATTTTTGCCAGTTCGATTCCCGGGTGTGGCAAGCAAATTTTCGAAAAATGTGTGTTTGCAGTTGTGTTTCTTTTTTAAATTAAAAGAATGTTTCCTTTGAGTAAAATTATCTATCTCCAGTATTTAGAGTACTTCCCCTGGGGGTGGCATTCAAAATTTCCACCCTGTATATACCTAGTCCAGCCATAAGTTCTGTTACAAATGAAAATGCATTTTTTTTTAATGAAGTAATGTTATATTATTAAAATTTATACCTACATATTTATTAAAGTCTCAGCAAGAAATTAAAAAAAAACTATCCGAAATGGCCACCTTTGGCTTTAATACAGGCTTTTTATTTGTTTGGCCACGACTCTATTGAATTACGCACTGTTTCCAAGGGAAATTTCGCCACTGCTTGCTCCAAAACTCCAAAAAGCTAGCGGAGGGAGAGAACGGAGATGCGTCATAAACCAGGGATGGACAAACGATTTCATGTCGTTCCACAGTAATCAACAAGAAACGTCGGGGACTTCTTTCTTCTTGTATTGACGCAAAAGTAAAATTAGCATTTACATGAAGTTAATTTAATTCATTAAAACAACATTATTTATTAAATCAATAAACATTTTTCCAGTCAAAATTTGGAAATAGAAAATAAGTTATTTAACTTTATTTCCACAAAACTGGTGTCAGGACACACCAAAGTGATTAATTTTTGGTAGTTTGGGTTTTTTTTAATGTACTTATAATAAAGTTAGGCACCATTATGTATATGTCCAAGGTATGCTGCGTGCCCAAGTACAATAAACAATATTTTCCATTACAAATTTATTTTAAGAAACCTTATTTCTCCAGGAAGACGCATTTTTTTTTTGTTCGGAGAAGTAGCCGTACATACCACTCGGCCGGAGGTCGTCAAAATTGTCAAAGGCTAGGCAATTCTTGAGTACTTGTACGGTATCACAAGCGACTGTTGGCTATGCGGCCGCGTGCTATATGCTTGTGTATCACTTTCTTGAGGTTCTCAATTCCACAGTATATTTTACCAAAAAATATACATATTAATTCTACGTTATGTATGTACAAATAAGATAGTCAGTTCAACACTTTGTCATAGGAGTCTTAGTGAGGAAGGAGAAGGCAGACTGCCTTTACGTGATGCGGTTGAGAAACGACCAATTTCCTTAAGAGACAGTGATCAAGATTATGGATTCAAGAATGTCGAGGTAAAACAATGAATTGTATTAATTATACATTTTCCATTCAATTTCATACAATTGTTTTATAATTTGAGCTGATAAAGGAACTGAAAAGCGATATATTATTTCAAACAAAATGTTTCAAATATATTTAAGTATAAGTAACGCCAAACTTCTTAGGCAAAACCACAGACAAGCTTCCGCAGTAGATGTTTTCCTATGAAAATTTTCTACTGTGCAGGCTTCTTTATCTATGGTCGTTGCTCAAGAAGTTTGCCGGGTGTATACCAGGGCTATACTTAAGCACTCTTAAAATTAATATATCAATGTGTCCTATCGTGTCCTACTCTAGGACATTATTAAAACTAGAACTATGTAAAGATGGACGACGTTGACGAAATAACGAAAGTCAACTTTAACCCCCTTATTAATATACTAAAAATAAGCTTCTATGTTATTATTAATAAGGTGATTGGTGTGCAGGTGCAGATGAGATAATAATACTAACCAACTTTTGTACTTGATTAAATATAGTAAAAAATGTAATATGCGACTTTCGTAGATTTTGCGGTTGTATGAACTTGAAATTGTCAAATTTTGATTGATCTGAGAAATTTACGTATTACATTATTAATTTATTTATTTTATAGTATGTCGAAAACATTGACGTCGTTAATGAAGGAGGACTGAAGAAATTCTACGGGGCAGCCAGCTATTTGAACAAGTAAGTGTAATTGATATCTGTTTTCTTCATTTAACACTTGAGCTGGACAAATAAATACGTAGAATAAGTGTTTAATTAAAATAATTATTCTATTCGGTATGTTCATCTGGCACAAGGTACTTCCGAAAACTTTTAGGTACACACATATTATAGTGCTTTCGCATTATGTGGTACTTTTGTATAGAAAAAAAGGCTAAATAATAATAATAATCATTTGGATCCTCATATGTGGTTGCATTTAGAGACGCTAAATTATTTTTGATTTAATTATATCTAATTCAAGTTGTCAATTTATTCGTGATAGCAATAAAATAAGACAACGCGTCACTTTGATATATACAGCCAGGGGTAGTAAACGTAATTGAAGTTTTGTGTGCGGCCGATACTGATGTGTATATCTATCATGATATCGCAATTTTGATATTTTGCTATCCCGAAAATGCCAATGATAGTGATTCAACTTATGTCTGTGTATATTATTAAAAATGTTTTTTTCTTTACAGCGTCAGCAAAAACAACGACAGACTTCACCATGGCAATGCGAATTTGCAAGGTAAAACCTATTTGGTACTAGATTAAAACGTCAGTTACTTTTTCTTTTATGTCAACCTACTCTTAAAATGGTTTACCGACATTAAATCTTAGATTAAAACAAAAAGGGAAGATACGGCATTCGCGGCTCAAAAGTGATCCGCTTAAATTGTGGTCCACGACCATAATTCGCTTTAGTCACAATTTGACATTCAAACACGCTGCATGTACACTCAATATAACAATATTGAGTGTGGGTTTACCTATAATGCGAAGAGATGGCGCTGCCTTGCAGCTTAAGAATAGCTAGAAAGAATTTCGACGCGGTCCGTGAGGGCCGCGGTAGCATAATTTGTCAGTGCATTCGCCCGGATTGCGAAGGGTGCGGGTTCGAGTCCCGTCTGCTGCCTGGTCCGCGTGGAATTTTTTCTAGTTATATTTTCTTTAGATTTAAACATCAAGCAGTTACATGCTTTAAAAATAATAAAAAAATATAAATATTGAGTATATTCTGTGTTGCCTTCGATGCTTTTATAAAGCACACAAATAGTTCAAAATCAAATGCCCCGGCAACACTTTTCATTTGTAAAACTGTGAAACATTTTTTTTTCTCAAAAATCTCGCTTTTTCGTGAATATTATTTACGTAATCGCCATTTTGTAAGCAAGAAAAGGACAACAATACGCAGCGTTGAAGCGTATACTTCTATATAGCTCGCTCGATTGATGTTTATATACAGACGTGTGCGTGGCGAGAGTTGTAGTTGAGTCGGATCATATTTTATTTGATGCTAGTATGAGCGTACCGTATCTACCCTTTTTGTTTTAATCTAAGCATTAAATTTGTTTCACGTTCCATGCTCACAAAGCAGAGATGATACTGATCTTCAAATTATTTTTCCTTTGCTAAACTCCGAGGATCTGTAACGATTTTAGCAGAGAATGCAGATTTATAGAGTTTTGGATTATATAAAATACAGTGGTTAAATTTTTCTTCTACGACAAATATTGACGAATTTATGACCAAATTACTAAACGAATTTTCGGCTGGCCGCGTAGTTACTGTGACGTCACAGAGCTCTAGCGCTCGGGCGCGAGCATGCGTAGAGACGCTACTAAATTTCGACCGGAATGAACCACAATCGAGCTCTGTGACATCACACGTTTCGACCGCCGCGCCGGTGAATATTGGCTACCATAAAATTAGTTATAAAATCGCAACGAATGAACCGATTTCAATGATTTAAAAAGTATATTAAATTAAAAACTTATTAGATTATTATACTGTTGATTTTGAGATGATCTGTTGCCCTAGTAATGATCCGCATTCTGCGTCCCGTGCAAATCTGTCTAATCTTGAAGTATTTTCTAACTTCGTATACAGCAATGCAACAAACCATCAGCGTGCCAACCGACAGGAAGCTGGTGGTGTGCTACATGCAGTCGTGGGCCGCGTACAGGGCGCCCCCGCTGGCGTTCACCGCGGGGCTGATCCCGCGCTCCTGCACCCATCTCCACTACGCCTTCGCGGCCATACACCCGCACACGTACTCTGTCATACCGGCCAACGAGGACTACGACGTCATAAAAGGTGCGTCAACAAACCATCAGTGCGCCAACCGAGAAGACGCTGTTGGTGTGCTACATGCAGTTGTAGGCCACGTACAGGGTGCCCCCGCTGGCGTTCACCGCGGGGCTGATCTCGCGCTCCTGCACCCGTCATCTCTACTACGCCTTCGCGGCCCCGCACTCGTACTCCATCATACCAGCCAACGAGGGCTCTCCTCTTTGAGTCGCATTCCTCATTACTGAGGGTCGTGACCTCCCTTCTGTATCACTTTCTTCAGTATGATGGTCTTCAATCTGTTCCTGTCTTTGGCTGTGTGGAGGGCATTGTGGACTGTCGAGTCTAGAGCGGTGCGAATCTGGTCAGAGCAACGTATTGGGCTGCGTCCACGCGATCTTTTTCCGTCTACTCTGCCGGTCACAATCAGCTTCTCGAGGTTGTCATTGTCCTTCCTTGCAATGTGGCCGAAGTACTCAAGGACTCTGCGCAAACACTCGGATGATAGGCGTGAGGAGATTTTGAGCTCACACAATATGGAGACGTTAGTCCGGAATGCTGTCCAAGGGATACGGAGCATCTTTCTCCAGCACCACATCTCAAAGGTGTCGATGCGTTTGCGATCTGCAGCTTTCAGGGTCCAGGTCTCAGCGCCATACGAAAAAATCAAGAAGACTAGAGTCCGTACCAGTCTGGTTTTGGTCTTTACGGATATGTTGCAATCTCTCCAGATTTTGCCAAGCTGAGACATGGCGCCCTTAGCTATGCCAATTCTCATGCGTACTTCCATATCGCACGACCCATTGTTGCTGATGTTGGAACCCAAGTAGATGAAGTTGTTCACTGTTTCTAGTCCCAACGCGCCAGTAAGTTCCAGTTTCCCAGATCTATCTACCACCATGATCTTGGTTACAACAACGAGGGCCACGATGTCATAAAAGGTGCGTTAGCAAACCGTCAGCGCGCCAACCGTTACGAGGCTGATCGTGTGCTACATGCAGACGCCGTCAATTGTAAACAGAGGTTTTGCCTGCGTTAACAAAAAAAAAGCAGTTACACCATAGTTTGAGAACGACTTTACTGATTTCTTACAATAAGATTTCTAATACGTTCCTACAGCAAAAAGAAAGTTGCAGAGAAATTTTAAAAAAACTTAACCCAAAACCCTTCTACCGTAAGGGTAGCGCTACAGTATTTTTTTTTATCGGGGAGGGCATTGTGTTGGGTCCGTTAATTATAATAATGATTTTTTTTCATACAGAATATTACTGAATTGCTTTTAGTTCAAAAATAACTTTCAAATGGTAACATGTAAAAACTTGGCTAATATTAATTTAATTACCGCAACTTCTAAACGCAGCTTATAACATTTTGCCAGCAGCAATAACCACGACATAAGCTTCTTATAAACTCAAGATCAGATGAGTAAACATAATTACTTATTTATTACATACTAACGGTGATCAAAAATATCTTGTTATTGACTCCATAACGAACTCTCCCACCAAACATCTACAGCTTATCATCATATGGTGATTAATGATATTCTTCACAGGTGGTTACCGCATCGCCACTGGTCTGAAGAAGCGGCAGCAAGGTCTCCGTGTTCTCATCAGCGTTGGTGGAGAGGGCAGCGAGCGATTGTTCAGCGATCTGGTGCAGGAACCGAAGAGACGCAGCCTTTTCATAGAGAGTGCGGTCAATTTCCTCAGGGAACACGACTTCGATGGCCTAGACCTCCATTGGGTATATCCAGGTGAGACACATTAGGGAACTCCATTTATGACTAGAGATTTTCCGTGCTTAGGAAAGCACGTTAAGTAGTCGGTCCCGGCTGCATTTGTGCTGTCTTCAAACTAAAGTGCGGCTAAGTGGCATGTGGTCGATTTTTCAGTCTTAAATTGCATCTTATACAGTTTTTAATTCTCTATCGATCTGTCTATAACAAGTATTCGTATCTTTTATAGTTTAATTCTATAAATCCTTCATGTGATGAATGGTTACAAAATAGCAATAATTTAAAGTTTACGCGCCGTTTTTTCACCATATATCAAAAGTTGGTTTTGTCATTAAGCCGCGTTTTGGCTTGAGGACGGCAGATATGCAGTCCGCACTGAACCCGTATGGTGGGTCATGGTCCGTTCTCTCTATTACATCCATAGGTAAAGTCTTTATCCAAGTGAGGACATAGAGTCTGATGATGAAAATTACAAAACTATGACCGCTTAGCCAAACGACAATGATGAACCCAGGATGTTTGGAGCACCACAATACACAGCCTTGAATCAGTTATACCCCACAATTTTACATTAATGGTTCTTAACACTAACATACTAAAATAAAGTTTTCTTTCTAATTTTTATACAGGTGAAAGGGATGACAAAGAAAAGGAGCTCCTAACTTCCCTCCTTTACGAGTTACGAGAAAAGTTCTCCTCCTACGGATTGCTCCTAAGTACTGTTCTGCCTCCGTTCAGATATCAAATAGACGATGGTTATGACCTAAGTGCTGTTAGTGGAGCGACTGATTACACCATACTTCAAGCGTGGGATATGACCCATGGAAAGAAAGATGAACCGCCGTCTAGAGCTTTGCATCATAGCACTTTACACCGTGACCCTGGTGCCGCATCTAGGGATCAAAGATACGACAACATTGTAAGTATGAGAACATTTAATATTATTAGTAAGTGTTTTGATAATAAAGTACCAGGTGATCCTGATTTTGTTTTATTTTAGCTTTAAATTCGTTCTATAAGTTTGTGACGGACTCGTAGGGAGGGGGGCAAGAGTGAACAATTTCCACCGTTAAAACCTCTCTGCCCTCGGTTTAAAAAAAAACGATGGTCCCCCCTAGAAAAAACTCTAGCTACGCCAATGGCGGCCTCCTTCCAACTGCACTTTGACTGCTGAATTTTAGCAATCAGAATGCAGCATTCCATCTGTCTTGAAAATTGAGCCGGAAACCAGAAACAACAAGGTCGTTATGGAATTAACTGTTGTAATGTAATATACCTAATCCAATCCGGTTGTCTGTCTGTCACCATTACCACTCTTTTACAATTAATAGCTTAGCTTATATTATTTTACAGGAATTTATGGTAAAATACATTTTACGTCACGGCATGGCTGCCGAAAAGCTCGTGTTGGGAGTACCATTGTTTGGTAAGAGCTACACTCTGGCGGCTTCGACTCTGCCCTCTCCAGGCGCGGCCGTGAGCGCGTGGGGGGACGAAGGACAATATACCCAGACGAAAGGATCACTCGCTTATTTTGAAGTAGGTATAATGAGAACTACTATATAATTCTGGAAATACCTCATAAAACATTTGGAATTGAAAAACTTTAGATAAGATTAATCTAAAGTTTCTTACTTGTTCCTCTTGTTTACGGACGGCTACCTACCAAAGTTTTTAATAATATCTAGGAAAAGTATCTACTTTTCCTTCGGCATTCCCCGACCGCAAGGAGAAGGACGAACCTCCGCCGTGAAAAGTCTCAGGATCCGAAGCAAGCCCATTCCGAAAGACGAAGGATTACTGTTGTGTTTTTAGTGGATAGGGCCTGTGTCCCTAGCAGCCGTTAAGCCAGTCCCAAGGGCTGGCTGGGTGAAATATGGGAGGAGGAGGAGTTCCACAGTTTTAATACTAAGGTTGAACATAAGTCCAAACATAACCATAAAACCACCCTAAATGTTTTTTTTATCGAGGTCAAAAAAATAGTATTAGCTATAATTACTTTGAGAAATGTATGTTAATTTATGCTTTTTTATTTGCAGATATGCATGAGTGAACGTGAAGGGAAAGGAGTCAGCGCTGTAGATGAAGCCGGCAATTCTTACGCAATTTTCGACAATCAGTGGGTATCCTTCGATTCACCCAGTACGGTTCTGGAAAAGGTGAATACTCAGTTATTTTCTCATTAAGTGGCTAAAACTATTATGAGCTTAGCCTTAAAAGCAACCATACACATTGACTTGCAATAAATTTGACGTATCAAAATGGAAGCTTTGTGTTTGCAATGACAAGTCGATGCACATGTAGCATTTTTTTTATTTTCTACTAAATTATCCTAGTTTTAGCTTGCACTTAACCTAATTAGTGCCTAGCTTGTTTCCTACAAGCTCTTATATTATAGCATTGTCGCACTACTTAACTAATTTCACAAAGTGGACTTCACTCGTACTAAATATCATATGGAATGGAGTAGGCAATATGCACAACTGAATTAAGAAGCATTTTGTATGGAAAGCTTATGAATTTAAGTACCCATATTTTTTTTCATCAGATGAGGTTCGTGATAAGTTCTGGATTGGCCGGAGCAGCTGCGTATGCAATAGATATGGATGATTTCAGAGGTCTTTGCGGATCCCCGTTCCCAATACTAAGCACAATATCCACTAGTCTCAACGGTAAATTATGTTTATTAAATCGACAAATACATTAACAAATCAAATTATGTCTATGGCACCACGTATTGACTGATTTATTTGACAAATATTTATTATGTTACGAAACTACACCCATCAAAGTCAAAGTCCCTAGGGATCAAGTTTGTACGCAGCGCACGTTATTGACGCCGCGCCGTTAACTTGGGTTAATTTCCCACAAACTGCTTTTTTCCTTTAGTTTTACAAATTGTAGGGGTAGATTGTTATCTTATTCATAAGAATTGAAGTAAAACGCCAACCTAGAAGATTACATTAGTCAGATAATGATTAATTATTTTTCTTTGCACAAAACATGATTCGTCGACACGTTTGATGAGTACTATGTAACGCGTGGAATTCATTCTATTTCTTTGTCATTTTCAATGTAACAAAAAATGCATAATAACAAAATCTTTTCAAACAGGTGAATCGATACAGTCCGATCAATCGTCCCTAAAGATCGGATCCTGTCAGTCGGACTCTCCATACTTGGCATCGGACGAAGATTCGTGCGCACATTTCCATTTCTGTTCTGGTAAAATTAATTACAGAATGATTTGTGAGGAGGAACGACTCTATGATCCATCTACTGGTTTTTGTGGGTAAGAATTGGAAACAATTATCACATAAAAAGATTGAGTATATCGTAATATTATAGAAATAACAGAAATATCGAGGGAGTAGTTTTGCACATTGAATCAACGAATTAGAGCTGATATGGAAGCATTACCCTCTAACAAAGGCCGCTAAAACATGGTTCCAAACTCATACAACTAAATTTCAATACCCCCTAACGCGACACGCGTACAAACAAAATACTTTGACTAATCAAATATCTGTAAATGAATTCAGCTATTCATTCATAACTAAAATAATGCCTATAACGATATAAGAGAGCTCAGACGTTTTAATATATTTTAAATACTTTCAGCCACCAAGATGTCGCAAAGTGTATGCCTGGACAAAGCCTTCGCATAAGCATCAATGATGCAGAACGTTACTTATCACATGTGTACGAAAATGATTTCGAAGTAAGAATAAACTATATTTAATAGGTTGGGGAAAAATGTCTTTTCGCATTATACACTCCCGGACACCTAAATCGAGCCACCTTGATTTTTTTGGTTTGGAGTACTGTAACTTATAAAAGATGTATGTAGAAGGAAAATGTTTTGATGCAGTTTTGGAACTGGTATACTCATCATTCATTTAACAAATGATGAGATTAAAGCAAGATGTTAAGAGAAAGTAGCCGGAATTAATCAACAGAAGAGCTGTGGTTTTTCATCATGATAACGCTAGACCTCACACATCTTTAGTCACTCAGAAAAATTAAGAGAGTTTGACTGAATGTTAATGCATCCGACGAATAGTCCTGAACTTGCTTAACATATCCTGTGTAACTAGTAATAACTGTTGTTTCGGTCTCTTCAGAATTATTAAGGCAGTGTTAGGTTAAGGCAGTGTTAACATCACAAGAGGACTGCCAAAACCACCTGTCGCGGTTTTTTAATCAGAAGCCCCAAAATTTCCATAGCAATGGGATCATGTCCCTATCTACATGATGGCAATAACTTATCGAACAAAATGGCATCTTCATACTTTAGTTAAATGTAAATATACTTTATTAAAAAATGTATTGAATTTTTATATAAAATGCGAAGAAACTTTTTCCCCAACCTATTATAAAGACATTAATGAAATTCTGTTTTTATTAACATTGTGTTTGTTTTACTTACTACTTCCCGTGAAACATGTCTACGGAAATATGGAAATAAGTACTTTTTATTTTCAGTGGAATGGTGAAGAGATTGTCAAAGATGTCCAAAAAGGATCTCTATTTGACCCGTATGAAGTGGATACTAAGAGAAGTAAGATATACTTAATGTAAAGTTGTTCTTTACATTTGCCTTACTAATATTCTTTACCTCTATCTCTAAAAATGTAATACCAACAGATATCTTTTAACAAATGACTTTTAACAATATCATTCAACACTTTAAATGATATATCATACTCATCACATTTAACAAATATATTAAAAATTAACTTTAAAAAAATGTTAAAAATGTCTATTGTCTCTTACCATTTCAAAACATTACAATATACCTAAAGTACCGACTACTTTATCTTGTTGTATCTTTCTTTCTTTCTAACATCTCTAAACTCTCTCTTCAGCGTTATTTGTACATAGATATCATAAAAACCGTCAACCTAGACAGGTAACATACAGAAAGGCTTTATGGGATACCTCTTATCGGCCGCAATTAACCTTAACCAAACCTAACAAAAAAATTACTCACGATGAAGAAGTGATACCAGACGAAGGTAAATGGATGTTATTTTTCTTTATAGCTAGTAATGCTAAGAGTAATTGTTCTAACTTACCATTTTTCTCATTGTAGATAAAGAAAATGACAAAAAAGTAGTTTGTTATATGACAAGTTGGGCTTTCTATCGACGAGGAGATGGAAAATTCGTTCCTGAACACATCGACAGCAGACTATGTACTCATGTAGTTTATGCATACGCATCCCTTACCCCCGACGATCTAGTTGCCAAGGAGTTTGACCCATGGGCGGATCTTACAAACAGTAAGTTATTATCAAATACTTTTTTCATCCCACCACCTCGGAAAGTGTAATTTTGCGCTTCGAAATCTGGCTGGAAAATTCTATTTTATTCGCTTGAGCGGCAAAGTAGATTTGAATTTAGAACATCACATATAATGAGTACTCAATATAATTGTAAATTCAAAACGTCATTAAACCTATTTAATGTAACCTCTATGGTGCCAAATTTATGATTAGAACTTTTTAAATTGTGAAAAAATTTAAATTTGGAACCTTCTTGGTTTCTTTGTTTTATTTGCGTGCTTCGCGCCATTCTAGTTTTTCACGTTTTATTGCTTAAATATTTTGTCATTATAAATTGTTTTCTTTTTCATTTTGTCATTTCCTCGCTGAGGTGGGATGAAAAGTTACGTATTGCACTCGAGTGGAAAGATTTTTCACCTTGTGCTCGTTTGTTTCCCTCGCTGACGCTCAGGATTCTAATTTAGAATCACTCGCTGCGCTCGTGATTCAACTTTAGAATCCTTCGCTTGCTCGGTCATCCAAATCGAGCACGCGGTTAAAAAGGAACTTTCCACTCTTGTATAATAAATAACTATTCCTTCTTCCCAGACCCATGAATCTCTGACAACCTTACTCACTGGTCCTACAGTGTTGCACACAAGACTTCAAAATACTCTACCATTGTTCAAGTCACGAGCTTAAAATTCCTAAAATTTTCTTATTGTACATCAATATAATCATAATTGATATCAACAACATTACACTACATTTTGTTTTGATGACATTATTTGAATTACCTGTATAAAATGAACTTGAACATTTGTATACAATACTATATTCGCAAAACTTATTTTCACATAAAATTTATTGATCTTTTTATTTCAGATCTTTATGAGCGTGTTACCTCTCTGAGGGATGTGAAAGTGCTTCTCGGATTGGGAGGGTGGACGGATTCTGCTGGTGACAAATACTCGCGGCTGGTGTCCTCTGATACGGCACGAATGAAATTCATCGAAAATCTGATTCCTTTCTTGAAAATGCATAACTTTAATGGTCTCCACCTCGACTGGAATTATCCAGTTTGCTGGCAGAGTAACTGCAAGAAAGGTGCAGCATCAGACAAAGCAAACTTTGCTAAATTTGTGCAGGTAATTTATACACTTTAATGGTGGAAGCTTAAATTTAATTATTATTCCCCGGCGTTGATAAGGTAATGTTAAAATCCGTCGTATGACCAATATGTTGGGTTCTTTCGTAAATAATTTTACTATACGATTAAATTCAACTTTGTTAATTCGTTGTAAGCTTTCATAAAGTTTTACGACCCATGCAAATATGGGTGCATTTCTACTTTTATGTTAGAAGTTGTAATTCTAATCATTTCTATACTTACAGCAATTATCGCGGGCTCTACATGGGATCGGCATGGAATTAGGTGTGGCCATATCAGGATATAAAGAAGTGATAGAAACCGCTTACGATTTGCCGACGATCTCCAAGGCTGTGGACTTCATGAGCGCCATGACCTATGATTACCACGGCGGATGGGAGAGGACTACAGCTCATCACACGCCGCTTGTGCCAGAACCGAACGATGCATTGGCTTATTATTCCATTGTAAGATATTTTGTTATTCTCAACCATTATATAAATAGATTATGCAAGACCGAACAAAAAAAGATAACGAACGAATAGGGGTGATGACAGAGTAAACGAAATTCTACTAACCCGTCTTGAGTTAAATAATAAAAAAATAATGGACATATATGTTTTCTTATATCAATCAACCAAAAAATTACAAACATAAAGCTCGTCAATTTTTGGGAGTAGAGGTTCGTAACGTCACTTCTAAGTAAAATTGTACCAAACGTGACATCATGCGACATTTCAAATCAATATGTCTCTGTAATGTTTTGATTAAGTGAATAAAGAAAAATACGTGTCCTAATACTTTTTGATAATCCACCTGACAGACGAAGAAAAAAAGGTTAGTCATCATCCCTATTTCTTTTTTAAGTCTGGATCAGCTCAAGAGTAGATATCAATCATGTCTGTTCCATTTTGACGTGACAACGTCTTAAATTAGGTTGCGGCTGGGAGTCACTTATGAAAAAGTGTAACGCTCGGTAACGTTACGATGAGTCTCTCGTGTTAAGTTTAAGTTTACATGTACAATGTTTTAGTAAACAAAATATATTTCTATAGTTAAAATTTGTGCAATTCTTATTTTCATTCAATTCCTTGTTCCTATTGTGCAATTTAATTATATTCATATCAATAAATATTCTACCGAGAAAAAGACGTTGTCACGTAAAATCTTCGCCCGTAAAACCGACTTTACAGGCAACCATTTTTTTTATATAACTAGTCTGGCCATAAATACTGTTACCTTCTTATTTTCAACTTTTTAATTATTTTAAATTTGGAACACGTATATTGTGTTCATTATCAAAATATATTATTTAAAAAAAAACTTGATTTTGCGCCATTTCACATATTTTTTCGTGTTCATTATCAAATTACAATTAGGATTGCAGTGATCGCTTTGCACAAAGTGGGCATGGAGCCGTCGGTCATATTCCAGAAACTTCAAAAACTTGAAGGTATTAGCCGTTCGTATATTGTACTATCTACAGATACAACAACACTTCGTCTGTCGAAGACCAGAAAAGATCGGGGCGGCCGCGTACTGTTAGCTGTTAATGCTGTTAAAGCCAGAATTCGTTAAAAGCTTTAGAATTCGCTGTTAAAGCGAGAAATAAAGATTCCCGCTAGGACTCTGTCGCGTATTATAAAACAAGAAAACTCTTTTTCACAGGAGTACGCTATTAAGGCGCTGTTAAGTGGCGGAGCCGATCCTAAGAAGTTACTCATGGGGTTATCGTTCTATGGACAATCGTATCGACTCGCCGATGGCGCAGGACCTAAAACATCCGGAGCACCCGCGGCAGGTCCCGGTGAAGCGGGCGAATTCACTAAGCAGCCAGGAATGCTGGCCTACTATGAAATCTGTTATAGAGGTATTGATTTGCGCTAAGGAATTATATGCTTAGGTAATTAATTAAATTATACAATCGCTACGACACACACTGAGGCTGGAACATAATCAACCTATTATGTATGTATGGATATGTGTACAACAAATCAAGTTACCGCATTGTTAAATTGCCTCAAGCGAATCTTTTCTTTAGCGATAGCAAGGTATAAAGCTCAAAGTAGATAGATCTAGGTCAAACTTTTCACTTTATTATTTTTACAGTAAAGAATTTACGCTGGAAGACTGGCCGTCAAAACAACGCGGGTCCTTACACATACTCGGATACCCAATGGGTCGGATACGACGATCCTAAGTCTATCACTGAAAAGGTTAGTATAAAGTGCTCACAGGTTTATAAGTATAACCATATAAAATTAAAATATCTTACATAACAAAATTAAAGATTTGAGGAGAGATCCCGATACATATATATTTTAGTAATTTTCTTTATCAACTTTGCTGAACAATAGAGATAGTAATAAATATACAACTGAAGGTTAATAAAGTTTATCGATTTATTAGCGTGCTTGTTTTGATCGGCTTTTGTTGACAATACTATGGTACATAGGTGGAATGGGCATTGCGTCAAGGGCTGGCCGGTGTGACCGCGTGGGCCATTGACTTAGACGACTTCAATAACCGCTGCTGCGCCGAGCCGTCGCCTTTGCTGAGGGCAGCAGGCCGCGCGCTCGGACGCTCGGTGCCGTCGCCGCCAAGCACGGCTTGCGAACGACCACCGCAACCTGTGACTCCTGCACCACCTACCACTACCACTGTAGCTTCTGATGGTATGTGCTTATTATCGTGTAAATAGCAATCTCTGTGATCAGGAGAGTAAGACGAATCAATTTGTTGCTGCGCCGAGACGTCGCCGTTGCTGCAGATCACACGCTTGACCGTTCGGTGCCGTTACAGCCAAGCACGGCTTGCGAACGACCGCCGCAATCCGTGACTCCTGTGCATACCACAACTACTGTAGCTTATGGTGGTATGTACTTACCATCATGTATTGGGCAATGTAGCATCCAAGTGCTCTAGAGAATTCGTCAAAAGAATTTTTGCCGCGCTGAGCCGTCGCTGTTGTTGCGATCAGCAGACCGCGCGTTGTTGACTGTTACAGATTCGACTGGGAACAACTGGGATAATCTATTTGTATCACACTGCATTCACGTATCTATAATTAATTATCTGCTTATTTCTTTTTTCCAAAAAATACCAAACATTTTTAATACCAGCTGTGTGTATTAAATAATAGTTCATAAACTTCATTATTCATATTTTGATTCAGTTTGTCTTTGTTCGTTTTTTAATTAAAATTCGGTGCGAAAGCATGATGTGGCTACCTTCAATAGAATTTTGCATTTTTTATGTATCACTGTAATGTTTAGAAATAAGATTAAATGTAACTTTCTCTGGTAATACTAATAATAAATAAATAAATATTAATGGAGTTCAGTTGCAAAGATAGGTGATGCGCCCCAGAAACATGCTGCTCCGCTCGTACAAAATGTACCATTTCTTATCATTCAAAATACTTACTTCAGGTTCTATGGGTGGGTCAGGCGACCACGGCAGTCACGGTGGTCACGACCAACATACGTCAACCACTTGGCCCGGTTGGAACCCGTCAACTACAACCAGCGCCACTTCACAAACGTGGTGGCCGCCTGCAACTACCCCCGCCACTACTACCACTACAAAAGCTACAACTACAAAAGCTACAACTGCAAAACCTACGACTACAACGACCACGAAGAATCCATCTGTAGATTCTCCAGCTCGACCTCCTACAGACGCCGGTATTTATTCCTATTTTTCTTTATTAAAGCAATCACCCAGCGACACATTACAGACGGACCATGCAAACCGGTATATTTATAACTTTCCGACATCAGAAACGTAACGTGTACCTACCAGTAGCTCCTATTCAAAAATTATACGATTTGGAGGCGACCAAAAGTTATAGCAGTTTGTTGTTTTTTTTTGCCCTGGACGTTCGATCGTATACAAAGAGGGCAGGTATGGTGGGAGTACTTCACAAGGCGCAAGTTATTCTGCCGCGCTGAAGTAAATCCCAAAATTTCCCCTTGGACTCCCTACTATTAGCAGACATGACATATATCACAAATATTCAAATGAGTTTGAACTCTTTTTAGTAAAGGTGATTGAGAGGGTGGTCCGTGCAATTGCAGTGCGATGGTGGTCAGTAGCGCAAGCACCGGTTTCTGTAAGCCGACCGCCTACCGAGGCCGATATTTGTTTAAAAAAATGTAATTAGAACTTAATTAATGTAATAATTTAAACAAGCGCTACGCGACAGACTACAAGAGTCACGAACCCTAAACACATAACCTCAAAGAGAACCAAGAAGCCATCTGTAGTTTCACCTAACCGACTTTCTCCTAACACCGCCACAGTAATTGTGACTGATAATTCAACTATTTATATTATAATTATATCTAAATCATGTCTCCTGTGCAAGCAGAGATACGCGCGGCACATTTTTTACCACAAATATCAAAATTAGTTTGAAACCTTCATACCAAAGGTGGTTTAGAGGGCGGTCCCTGCACTGCGGGCGATTATGGCGCCGCTCCCGGGGACTGTGAGAGCTACTTACAGTGCGAGGCTGGACAATGGCGGAAGCACCGCTGCGCGCCCGGACTGCATTGGGCTGCGGCCGTCAGTCGCTGCGACTGGCCTAGCTTCGCCAAATGCACAGGTAGGTTTCTTCTTCTTCTTTTAGTGCCTATACGAACAGCGAAGGTTGACAGTCAGCTTAGCATACTTATCCTTAGCGAGATGGATTAATTCAGCGGCACTCGAGATTCCAGTCCATTCTCGTAGGTTCCTCAACCAAGACTTCTTCCTGCGACCGACGCCTCGTTTTCCAGCAACTTTGCCCATTATTATTAATTGTAGAAGGGCGTACCTTTTGTGTCTCATCACGACAGGTAGATTAATGAAAGCAAAATTAATCGTGCTTGTGCCCCGAGCACGAACTTTGGCAGCTTAATCGTTATCATATCGTATCGTCAGATTCTATGAAAACAAAACAGCGCCCCTATCGGACGTAAGAACAAACTACCTAGCTTTTTTCCATACAAAATTTGACAATGATGACACGTTAAGTAGATGTCAAAAATTCGTGCTAGAGCCTCAATTTGCGATAACAGGATTGAAAATGGTTGTTGAAAATATAGAAACATTAAAAAATAATCTCATTTGCATGTGAAATCTAATTAGAAAAATAAACTCTGTTTCACAGTATCAGACTAAATAATTAAGAATTTTTAATCCAAGTAAATTTAGATTTATCTGAGGAATAAATAACTATTGTACAATAAATTTAACGCAGTTATAATAATAAAAAGAAATTGAAAACAATCTAAGTACCGCAATACTAAGGCCTACCTAGACCTGAGACAATACAGAAAGATTTTTTCCTTAACGGACATTCAAATTGAACCCTGCAGAGATTTTCAAGGACAATAAAATTGTGAATCATTGGTAGCAGCAAAAAAAACCATAAAACCTTAAAACAAATAACTGTGTGCCGGACACTGTCATACTATGATACCTAAATCTACTTTTATTATAAGTAATACTATTAACATTACTCTTTTACCAAGCTGAGAGCCCAAACAACGAAGCAAGCACAGCCACCAGCACTTTAGCGCCTATAACGTCACGTCCGCCACCTCGACCCACCACTACCCTGAGGCCTACCACTACGACAAGACCAACCACAACTACACAGCGCACCACTACTACAAGAGCAACGACGACCACAACTACTCAACGACCAACTACTTCAGCCACACCTATTTCCAGCAGTGGTATGTTAAACTTTTTTTTTATTATAGTTTTAATCGTAATTTTATGTCTAAAAGGCATCAATACCCCAAATTGTTATTCGGTCTCTTTGTAATACTCGAAAACTAAAAATCGTCAAAGTATAGCTAAGTGATCCCGTACATTAAAATATTCATTTTTATAATTTAAGTGCATAGTTTTTTGGTGCCATTTACTTTTACCTATACAATCCAACTTTAGAAATCCGTATAATGTTTTTCGAGTATTCATGCACACCACTCCCACCTTTTGAAAATAATGTTTTATAGAGAAATCCAATTAATTTGTACGTAGAAGACCTGGAAGGAAAGCCTTGCAGAGGGGAAGGTTATCGTCCATCGAGCAACTGCAACGCCTACTTAATGTGTGACGGTAATATGTGGCTGCTGCAGCACTGCGCACCCAGCCTCCACTGGAGTCCCACAGACAACCGCTGCGATTGGCCTAAATACGCCAAATGTAAATGTAGGTATTTTCCATGGACATAGCCAACGTTAAATTAAATTAGGCAGGGAAGTGTGAGCGAAATTATGCTATCGGATGACTCATAATTCTTGTCAATAGTATAAAGGCCCGGCTAGAACTGTGATTGGATAAAAGGTAGGAAAAATGCTAAAGATAAAATACACAGCAATAGTTGCCCTCACCTTACCAGTCCTATTATAATTTGGATTGTGCTTTTGTAGCTTTAACCACATTAGTCGCAGCAGGAACATGACTCTAAGTTTTTATAATAAATTTGGGGCGACATCACATACATTTCTATGATCCGAAATCAAGTACAGGCAGTCCTCGTACTTACGGCATGTTAGGTTCTCGAAATACGCGACGTAAATCGAAACGACGTAAGTCGAGACATCCCCACGGACCCCGGCCCCGCGAACATAGAACTCGCGACAAGTGAATAAATCTCCTATGCCGAAAATCGAAACAATTGTCGTATGCTTGAGCAATAGTGTCAAAACATTGTTTGACGTAACTTGAAACGACGTAAGTCGAGGATTGCCTGTAATTAGTACACTTATATGGAAATTAGAACAACAAAGTTACTACAAACATCCAGACCCTGAACAGGACAGGAAAGTCATCTGTTCCTTTGACCAAACTGGGGATCGAACCTGACATGATAGCGACACTATGAATTCAGTGTGTTATTTGATTTTGTGTTCTTTCAAGTTGTGGATATTTAACTTAAAAAATCTTTTTAACGTAATATAGACAAAATAAATAAGACTTTCCATACATTTACCCCCAACTTATACATTTTAGCTTCTACACCGAAACCAGCTGCAACTACGCAAAAACCAACCCGACCCCCTCCTAAACCAACAAACATGGGTAAGTATAATAGAAATAACGTTTTATTGTCCTTTAACAAGCTTTAGAAGAAAATCATAACAAATAATGACCTTATAGAAGCTCATTGATTACATCGAATAAATAAAAAATACGATAGTTCAGTCAAAATTGGTCATGCCAAGACACGCCGTTTTTTCAGCCATCCTTAACTGGCTAAATAATAAATTCCATGCTTTTAGATAAAGCAACAACAACAAACATTAATTGTAATTATTACACAAAAAAAGGGAAAGAAAACTAAATACCTATTGTGTCTTTATAGATATGCAAAAAGCGTTTGATACGTTCTGTATTTCTATTTTGATTGCCAAATATTGGTAGTGTTCGGGCATTATTTAGTAGATACATATAATGTAAAAAAATAGGAACACATTGTTCTAGATCTATTTTACATATAGGTATGGTGTCCTGCAGGGCAGCATAGGGACCAACTCTTTTTATGATCAACATAATTATCTTAGGATAATAATCATGCTGCATGCAACAAAAAAGAATCCTTTTTGTACTAAATGTACACACATCAAAAGTGTCTAGGGACCAAGCATTTTTATGCGGATTTCTTGAGATTGAGATGTGGCTTTGTAATAAATTTATGATTTTATAAATTTATATGGATCCTTTTTGGTGCATTTCATAATTTGAATCAGGAACTGTGAATCAAATTCGAGTAAAAGATGAAAATCAGCTGTCAATATTTTCCCTATAAAAACATACAACGCATTGAAGACATTATTAGTGCTACTGTTTCCCTACTACTGATTAAAACCAACGTTATTATGGAGCAGCGACGTCATTTAAGCAGGGAAGAAATACTCAGAGCCGTGGGAATGATAGAAGCTGGTTCCCGGCAACGTACTGTGGCTTTAGCTCTGAATACAAGTCAGAGTGTTATCAGTCGACTTTGGACACGATACCGAAGCACTGGTACCGTGGCTGAGCGCCATGGAGGACGGTATCGCTGCACCACACGGAGACAAGACCGATACATTCAAATCTTAACTCGAAGAGCTCCAACAATAACCGCCATGATGTTAGCCGTGAGGCTTCATCACTCTTCAGGGAACTTAATTAGCGACCAAACAGTCAGAAACCGCTTGCATGAAGTGAACCTTCATTCCCGAAGACCGCTACGGGTACCACCTATAGCAATGCACAATCGTAGGATTCGATATCAATGGGCTCTTGAACACAGAAATTGGGCAGAAGAACAATGGCGTTTCGTGTGCTTTTCTGATGAGTCTCGTTTTGGTATGAGACCGGATACAAGACGTATACGACACTGGAGAACCCCTGGACGCCAACAGCGATTAAAATCCTGCCAGGAAGTCCATCCTTATAGTGGTGGAACCATCATGGTATGGGCGGGTATTTGGATCGGCGGAAGAACCGAGTTGATTTGGATCAGAGGCAACCTCAACGCTCAAATTTATGCTGAGACGATTGTATCAGACGTCATCGTTCCTCTACAAGTGCAAATCGGTCCCTTATTTCAGTTAATGCATGATAATGCACGACCGCACACCGCAAGAGTTGTAAGACAGACTCTCGCCGCAGCTAACATCAATGTCCTGCCCTGGCCTGCTCAGTCGCCAGACTTGAACCCGATTGAGCGTGCATGGGATATGCTACAGAGAAGAGCTCTGCCGAATATGGAGGGTATCCAGTCGCAAGAAGACCTTTTTTTGTTGTTGCAACGAACATGGGCGGCCATTCCACAGCGTGATTTGGATGAACTCATTTTGAGTATGCCAAACCGATGTTCTTGTGTTGTTAGTGTTCGCGGTAGAAATACGGATTATTAATTGTTTAAGTTACCCAATAAAATTTTAGAGAAAACTGTTATTTCAGTCTTTTTTTCGAACTTTTGTGTTAGTGGTTCAAATGTCAAAAATCCTTTTATTAGGAAAATGGCAAATTTCTTTATTAATGCAAAGGTGACTTGGTTTATCGTTACTGTGACAAACGAAAACACTTTATTTGATGAATCCTTAAAGAAAATTTTAATTAATATCAATCAGGAGAAAAGTTATTGCAAAAATATATGTTGATCCCTAGACACTTTTGATGTGTGTATGTCTGTACGTGTGCCTTGGTTAATTTTAAGATAACATAAAACAAAGTTGTTCCCGTTGTCAGCTGCTTAGATATTATAAACAATGCAACGGATTTTATTGCAGTTTTCAGCAATTGATAGTGATTGAAGTATGTGTCATACACGTCCGTGACTGTAGTCTTCTCCTAAGTGTAAGTGAGGGAGCGTTACTAACAATGAATAAATTAATAATGCTCTGAGTATTTTACCCATTTTGCAATTAATTTAAAATAATATAATAATAATAATAAATATACTGACAGCCGTATTCAACGGCGTTAAATAACTTTCTTTCCGGTCACACTTAGGCTCGCATTACAGAATGACAACTAAGTGTTGATCTTTACTTGAGTACAGTTAGAAAGGGATATCGCTATAAGCTTTACAGAGCGACATCCCTTTCTAACTGTACTCAAGTAAAGATCAACACTTAGTTGTCATTCTGTAATACGAGCCTAAAACAACATGTTATCTGATATAGTACCATCAGTGGATAGACCTATGGAGGACGGAACGTGTGGTTCTAACGAGGTCCACGCGGCTGCTAGCTCTTGTGACGCGTACCTGTTGTGCGTGGGCGGGCGTTGGCGCAAGCAGCTGTGCCCGCCCGGCCTGCATTGGGACCGCCGCACCAACCGCTGCGACTGGGTCGAGTTCGCCATGTGTGAAGGTATTACAGTTTTTTTAGTGTGTATTCTGTTGGTCGCAGATGACCTTTACAGCGTCACCGGGTTTGGGGACGGCGAGATCCTGAGGGGATCTCAAGCCGAGAATTGGCGAATGCCTCTACAGGTATTCCAGGCGGATGGCATTTCCTCAAGGGGGGGAGTCTCCTCTCCGTCTGGAGCCTCTAGACCACTCGAACCTGAGGGGGTCGGCTCAACTAAAGGGCGTCTCTGCTTGTCTGAGACTCGAACCTCGGCTCTAGGTAGCCGTTGTCGTGGGGGGCGGTATTACAGTGCGATTCTAACGTGTCAGCTATAAAGTTAGGGCAAGTCGCGTAACTCCCTAGATAGAGAAAAAGCGATGGTTCAATCAATGCTTGTACTAATTATCGGCCGCATTATCGCTTCTAATCGATGGTTGTCACATTTATCTGACTATATTAACACTATACTACTACGATTATTAACACTGTCAACAGTTGAACTTTACAGTTGAAGATTGAACGCTCAGTCCAGTCTCTGTGTCTATGAAAACTTATTAATGATTTGATTACACCTCACAGTCTTCTTTAAGTTACCTACATCTTCAGTTCTACCCTGTTACTCATTTATCCGTTAAATTGGATTCAAATTGCGTCCACTAGTTGAATTAAATAAAGACATAAATATGTTAATTGGGTAATTTATTGAAATCTAGGCCTCTAGGCAAATTCGACGAGTTGAACACGGCCCAATATTGCACGAGCTAATTGGAAAGATCTCGAATTAAAAAAGCACTAAATACTTGCTTAGTTTGTTTTAAACTATCTTAAATTCATTAAAAATACAAGCATAATAAATACCCACTTATTGGTTGCAGATAAACCTTCAGCTACTAAGTCACCAATTTTGGAAACTCCAACAAGTACAAAAAAACCGACGACAAGAACTACTACTACCACTACAACTCGTCGACCAATGACCACATCTCGTCGACCAACGACCACAACTCGTCGATCAACGACCACCAAAAGACCATCATGGATAGAGGAATCCCATATGCCGGAGAAAGTAAGCAAATTGGTTTACTTTATAAAAAAAAGTTTCTTTTTTTATAGTTATTAAGAAAAAATCTGTTTTACTTAGTAGGTACAATTGTATGTGCTGCCTAATCGACTCAATATACAATGCAAAATGTTGTTTGTGTTGAAAAACCACAGAAAACAAGTGTAAAAATGGAATGTCTAATCGATAGACGACAAACTTTCTATAGAGAGAATTATTTAAGGAACAAAAGTTAAAACGGAAATAAAATATAATATTCAATGAAAATATGAAATGTACATTCAAAATAATCATTAAATTACCAACTTCAAAAACGAGGAGGTTCTCAATTTGGTTAGTATTTATCATGAATAAATGTTGCGATGCAGGGCTGCATTACGGGTACATACCACCCTCACCCCGAGTGCAAGAAGTTCTTCGTATGTGTAAACGGAATGCTCATAGCGCAAAGCTGCGCCCCGGGGCTTGTGTGGAGGGCTGATCGGATGCAATGCGACTTCCCCAACGCAGCGTCTTGTACGGACCATCGCCAGGTGATGTCCGCTGCGATGACTGACGCGAATGCTGACTCGACGTCCTTGCAACTACTACAAGACGAAATGCCAAGTAAGTTTCCTTATACAAAGTTTTTGAAATATACACGATGATGTTCGATGTAATGAACGCTGACTCGACGCTAACTCAAATCAGCACATCGTAGTACTTGAAGTAAGTTTCTTTATATGAGTTTTATAAACAAGTATTGCACTCATCATCGTTAGGTGATTTCCGTTGCTATGACTGACACGAATGCTGACTCGACTTCCATGCAACTACTGCACGACGAAATGCCGAGTCGGTTTCCATAAACGAAGTTTTTCTATACAAGGTTACAATCGTCGGGTCATCTCCGCTGTAATCACTGACGTGAACGCTGACTTGATCCATGCAACTACTGAAAGACGAAATGCCGAGTAGGTTTCCTTATACAAAGATTTTAAGGTTACAATCGTCGGGTAATTTCCGCTGTCATCATCACCATCGTCATCATGTTCTCTGCAACAACCTTAGATTAAAACAAAAAGGGTAGATACGGCACTAGCCTCACAAAAGTGATCCGCCTAAATTGTGTTCTACGACCCTAATCGCTTTAGTCACAACTTGACATGCAGACGACGTACATGTGAACGCCAAAAAGAAATATTGCCAATATTTTGTGTTTATATGATAAAGCAATGCATAAGTGTGTTTTCAAAAAGTGCTCAAATTGCTCAAGAACTAAAAATAAAACCCACGGCATCACTTTTCATTCGTAAGTACTATAAAATATATTATTTCATAAAAATTGCTGTTTGTTTTGAATCTTATTCGGTAGTGACGTCGAGTACTGGTCGTGTGATTGGTCGGTAGTGCAGTGAAGCTGATCTCGCCGTCTCGTTCGCGCTGCCGTTGAAACGGGTCGGTAATGCAGTGACGCGGATCTCGCCGTCCCGTTCGCGCTGCCGTGGGATCAGTTTTTGTTTGATGCAATTAGGAGCGTACCGTATCTACCCTTTTTGTTTTAATCTAAGGCAACAACTAACCTCAATGCTGACGCTACGTCCATGCAACTACTGCAAGGCGAAATGCCGAGTAAGTTTCTTTGTACAAAGCTACTATGTTTTGTATTACCTCACAATCATTTCCAAAAAATCTTCCATTTTAAATCCAAAACAGTTTTAATATGTAAATATTTCTACGTGTAAATTAATTTCTGGAATCGTTTTAGAGTTGAAGCGTAAATTTAGAGTTGTACTATAAATGGGTAGTAAATTTTGAAATCAATGGCTTATGTAAGAACTATTCACACATCATTATAGAAAATATTCATTGTATTGATTATTATATACAATATGGGACAAAACGAGTGGAAAATAATCTGGTTACTATTCACCTTTGACACAAGTTCAGCATTTTTCAATTTTTTTGTCCTGAAGGTGATCATCTACGAAAACTTAAAATTTGTTCAAAAGCAATAAATCAATGATACATGATCAACTGGCGCCGCGGAGGTTAGGTAAAAACTTCTAGAGTTACACTCACCTTCATCTATTTGATTCGCAGAGTTTTGCGAGAATGGAGAATACGCCGTTCTTGAAACGGACTGCACCCGTTATCGACATTGCATATTTGGCAAGTTTGAAGAATTCTCGTGCAGCGCCGGCCTGCACTGGAATGAGGTAACTGTTTAATTTGTTAGTAAATTATGGCACAAAATGGTTATTGACTTCGATTTTATTTAAATCCACTTAGTATCTGACTCTTAAGAGTTCAGTTTGAAAATTCGAAAGCTTATATACATATATATGTATATATATAAATTTCGTAATGCCTATTGCAAGCAGTAATAAACCGATGTCAAGAAAAAATATTTTGATAGGCAGCGAATATTTATTTTACACTTTTGATAGAAAAATTACAGCTACTTATTCAAATACTTTCTTTTGCAAAGATCTCTTTAATTTCTGAATTAAATAGTTTATTTTTGTATTTTAGGAGAGGCAAATTTGCGACTGGCCAAAAAACGCGAAATGCAAAGTAAAGACAATGCCTAAGCCCACTACAGAAGCCCCGAAACCGCCGAAACCCGTGGAACCCGAGGAAATGAAACCAATGCCGATGCCAGTTGAGCCAGTAGGATCGATGCCGCCTTCGGGAACATCACCAGTAGCGGGTGCCAGACCACCACTATTAAAAAGTGAGTTAATCTTTACTATCTTTCATGCTGAGAATCAAGTCAACTATTTTACATAATATAAAACAGCTTTCTGTATATCCGCTAAGTCCTCCTAAACTGTGGGGGGTTTCTTGCGGTTTTCACAACTAGTGTCAGCTTTGCTCGGTAGCGCACTCGCCTGTTAAAGTGAGTTCTATAATCGACCTGTGAGCCCTTACTTTAAGCTATAATCGTTGCGTGGCTACATAGCTATTGTAAATCCAATATTTCTCCACCAATAGCGTAAATCCAGCTTCTAAACTATTCTGCATGTAGGTATCTATATATTTTTATTTCAGTATAATTATGCTTGGTGACTGTAATTAATGTGTCTGACGGAACCCTTCGTAACCAATGCAGAAAAGTAGAGCATCAAATATGTAATAGATTGATAATACAACAGAGAGGAATTGCGACCATTAGTAGAAAAGTCAGAAACAATAAATCAATGACTTAATCAATGCATTTATTAATTTATCGTGTATACGACATGTGCAGGTGGTTACAAACTGGTGTGCTACTACACGAACTGGTCGTGGTACCGTCCAGGGCTGGGCAAGTACTCGCCGGAAGACATTGATCCGTCGCTGTGCACGCATATCGTGTACGGGTTCGCGGTACTAGGTGACGACGGCCTCATCGCCGCGCACGACGACTGGGCTGACTACGATAACAGTAAGTTATGATTACTGCACCCTATATAGATTCACTGGGCAAGTACTCGCCGGAGGGCATTGACCCGTCACTGTGCACGCATATAGTGTACGGGTTCGTGGTGCTTGGTGACGACGGCCTCATCGTCGCGCACGACGACTGTGCTGTCTACGATAACAGTAAGTTATGATTACTGCACCCTATATAGATTCACTGGGAAAGTACTCGCCGGAGGACATTGACCCGTCGCTGTGCACGCATATCGTGTACGGGTTCGCGGTACTAGGTGACGACGGCCTCATCACCGCGCACGGCAACTGGGCTGACTACGATAACAGTAAGTTATGATTACTGCACCCTATGTAGATTCACTGGGGGCAAGTACTCGCCGGAGTACATTGATCCGTCGCTGTGCACTCATATAGTGTACGGGCTCGTGGTGCTCGGTGACTACGGCTTCATCGCCGTGCATGACGACTGGTCTGACTACGATAACAGTAAGTTATAAATACTGCACCTTATATAGATTCACTGGGCAAGTAATCGCCGGAGGACATTGACCCGTCGCTGTGCACTCATGTGCACAACGCCGGGTATAGATCGACAACGACGACGACTGACTACAATAACTGTTTCGATCGAGTTATGAATACTGCACCCAAAATCTTGTTGTTCTTATTGGTAGGAAACTGATCCCCTACTCCCTTTAGTTTTTAAAGTATCAAGCTCTGATTGGGCAGGTAGTTCCAGGTGCACTGAATAATCGATGATTCCTGAATATTTTCGTTTATTTCAAATTGTCTTTACGACGCCGGTAAGCAAAGCATGCAATGTACAACAATATATGAATAATATCCACAACAACAATGAGGTACTTTAAAATTTGTGTAACTTATTGCCGATCCAATGGCTTCAATAATTTCCAAAGTTCCCCTTACTTTCAGATAACTAAATGAAATAGTACTTACTTACCCATTTAGATTAAAATTGCCAAACCAAACCTAATAACTGATAATTATCTTAAATCTTCTTCAACTATAACTGTTATTTTTCTACAGGATTCTACGAACGCGTGACAGAGTACAAGCGTTACGGTATCAAAGTGACCCTAGCTATCGGCGGATGGAATGACTCAGCGGGAGACAAATACTCCAAGCTGGTGAACGGTCCCTCAGCTCGTGCCAGGTTCATAGCGCATGCGGTGCCCTTCCTCGAGCAATACGGCTTCGATGGTTTAGACCTCGACTGGGAGTATCCTAAATGTTGGCAGGTTGGTGAAATAGTCTAATGAAGAGAGAAATAATATAAGAAATAAAATGTAGTATGTATAAAGATTTATGAATCGTCTTACACCAACATACCCATAGCTTTACCAAAAGTACAACGCGACTTGTCTGCGTTAGTCAATCATTTGCCTGGAGGAATTCTCGCAGAGACTAACTGGAATACTTTACTACGACCCCCTCCCTTACTCCATGTAGCCCTGAAACCTTATTTTTTGACAGAACAACAACAACAGCAACATTAGCGTTATTTCACTGTGATAATCTGTAAGTTGGAGGCTGCGTAACCAGGCGGGGCGTTTCCCTCTCTTAAAATTTAAGAACTTGAAATACTTTATGCCATGGTTGTAACTCAATACCACCTAAAGATGGGTCATGCATCTTGAATCAGCTCTCCGTTCTCATTTAACCGATTTTGTGTCACCAGGTCGACTGCTCCAAAGGCCCAGACTCGGACAAGCGTAGCTTCGCTGAGTTCGTGCGCGAGTTATCAGCAATATTGAAGCCTAAGGGCATGCTGCTGTCTGCCGCGGTGTCTCCCAGCAAGATGGTGATCGACGCCGGATACGACGTCGCCAGTCTGGCACGATATCTCGACTGGATTGCGATCATGACGTACGACTACCACGGCCAGTGGGACAAAAAGACTGGCCACGTGGCGCCGCTCTACTACCATCCCGATGACGACAACACTTACTTCAATGCGGTGAGTCAGAAGTGGCGATATCGAAACTAAAAAATATTGTCTTTCTTCAGGTGTATTACCGCTACGGGTATTTTTAACAAAAGATATCTAACGTATAGGAATAGAACTGAAAACTTCGTGTATACGAAAAAAGTTGGTAATAGACCCGACGAGCCATCCATGTTCCTGTTTTTGAATGCTCAATTTATAGGGCTGGAATCCAAGTTGATTTCAGTCAAAGAGCATTAGTTTGCCTGATGCTAAATGATCATTGCAGATTGGATATAAAAAACCAAGACGAAAACCTTATTTAAAAAAACCTGCAAGCTGCAGGTCTTAACGGTTGCTAGTTCTGAAATATAGAGATAATAATGGCGATTGAATAGATTTTATCCATCCGATGCATGGGAAATGAAAATTTCGTTTTCAATTTACTTCTTTGTATATTCGAGTAAAAATGAATGGTCACGATAACGTTAAATTAACTACACTTTTTCTTTATTTGCGTAAAATGTTTTTAAACGGTTAGAAGTTGAAGTTTAATAGGTAATCAATGGGCGGGCCTCAGAAATGTTTCTATTTCGCAAAATTTTAGACCTTCTATACCTGTCATCTATGAAAGTAATAACTGCCTACCGCTATACGTATATCTTTTACAATTTTCTTCTTTCCTCAGAACTACACAGTACACTATTGGATGAAGAAAGGGGCACCGAGTTACAAGCTAGTGATGGGTATGCCGATGTACGGGCAGAGTTTCACCATCGGCAACAAGTGGGACAGTCCCCAATATCTGGCGAGGAAAGACGCGGTCGGACTTAACGCGCCCGCTAAGGACGGTGGAGAGCCCGGAGAGTATACGAGAGCTAAAGGATTTTTGGCCTATTATGAGGTACGTATTTTATAACTGGGACTGACGTATATAAGCGCTTTTTAAAAGCCAACTGACTTGACTTTTAGGACTTTTAAAATACAAGTTGCTATTGTTAACAAAGCTGTTATTACATCTATAGAACATTAAACTTAACTTTGTATTAAATGCATATAAGCCACCCGGCTTATCAACATTATTTCAATCACGCCGTGACGTGGCGTCATTAAGCGCGTTCTATTTTCTGTACCATGATGAGTGTTCTGAGGAATTATTCTCTCTTATTATACCTTCCCCTTTGGCCAACGTTATCACCGATTAACTGTGGCCTCTATTCCAACGCGTACAAAGAAGTTTGGTGACTCATTTTCTTTATCGCCCTATCTTATCACTGTTTATAATAAGCGACAGCTGAAAGATCTGCTCTTAACAATTCCTGATGTTGACAACGTAGACTTTATTTCTGGACATCATTAATAGATAGTGACTCCTTCTTCTTTATTAAATGGCTTTTCTTATAATCGGTGAACATACAAATAAAACATACCGACCGAATTGAGAACCTCCTGCTTTTTGAAGTCGATTAAAAGGAACAGACACGACCTATCACGAATATGTTCATGCAGCGGTCGCATTACAGAACCAAAACAGCCACACAAAGCGCATCGCAGCACGTATTGTTTGTGTCTTTGGTAAAATCTTGAGAAGTGCGTTTACTTAATAGAGCATGGCACAGCATTACGCAGCTATGCTAGCTCAATGTTGATTGGCCTCCTTATTAACTCTTGTAAAGTCTAGCTCGAGACCAGCAACCTATACAAAAACACACAATTTTCAGATTTGCGATCGCATCAGAAACAGTGGTTGGCAAGTAGTGAAAGATGCGTATGGCCGAATGGGCCCTTACGCATTCAAAGGTAGCCAATGGGTATCGTTCGACGACGTGGAAATCATCAAGAAAAAAGTCAACTTCATTAAATCCCTGAAACTCGGCGGAGGAATGGTGTGGGCTCTTGATCTCGACGATTTTAGAAACAGGTAAATATTTAAACAAAGCAACACATGATTGCATACAAAAATAAATGCTAAAGATCAATAAAACTTCTAAAGATAATAATACTTCATTCATTATGAATTAATTTACCCATTATACGTCAATGCCCGTAATTAAGCAACTCGACGTTTCGGTATTAGCTGTAAGAATTTCTCATCTCAAGCCGTTCAGAAAATTCTTTTTCTTGTAAATAAATAAATATAAGAATATGCAATATAATTTTATTAGCTGCATTGTTCACTAATGAAATGGCCTACTGCAAAAACATATAAAAGATAATTATACAATATTGGGCCAAAACTTCAATGTTATTACAGTTTTTAATACACACAGAAATAAGGTCAAAAGTTTATGCATTCATACGACGAACTTTTTCCGAATTTTATATTTTTGGTAGCAGGTCCTCAGCACCGTAACGGTATCGTATCGCTACTGGATGATATGCGATACGGAGTTCATCCGTTTCCCATCCAATATGTGTACAGACTCATATTTGAATTAGTAATGTCAGCGAAACGGCAACCTAGAAATCGGAATTCGTATAATTATTTAGTTACCACATAAAAATCCTCTTTCAGATGTGGACAAGGCAAACATCCTCTAGTGAACGCTATTAAAGACGGTTTACTTGATCCTAAAATTGAAGATCTGGATATGATCGCCCAACACGGAATCATGCCTAGCCCTCCTAATAGTATTAACGAAGAAGAAGATGAGGATGACATTTTGGTACCGATTCATCATAGACCGACTAAGAGACCGGTGCAGATGACTTTAACAACAACTACTACAAGAAGACCGACCACTACTAAGAAACCGACCACAACTACGACTGCGGGCAACTTGATAGAGGAAGAAAGATACAAAATCGTCTGTTATTACACCAACTGGGCTTGGTACAGGTAATTTGAACCAAATAATCAAACGGCAGTTAGGTGTGCAAGCTGCTGTGTAATGTTTGAGACTTACAAATTATATTAAAAAAAATACCACCTTATTTTATAGTAAATTCCTTTAAATATTGTGACATAGATGTACTTAAATACTTTTAACTTTTACTTTTTTGAAGATTGAGCATTTGTTAAAAAAATAATTAATTCCTAATAAAATTTAATAATGTCAACTTTGAAACATAGAAGCCGTGTTTATTAAATTGATTTAAAATGTTGTTTGCAGGCCCGACAACGGGAAATACACTCCGAGCAACATTAACCCCTCGATGTGCACCCACATCGTGTATGCTTTCGCTGTGCTCGACAAAGAGCGTCTCGTCATCAAATCTCACGACATTTGGCTAGATGTCGAAAACAGTAAGTTATATTCTCAAATTATCTGAGCTAATAATATTGTAAATGTTAATCCTAGTCTAAGTCCTTTCCCGGAAGTCAAACTTAATCTATACCATTTTTCATTTAACTCGGTTTAGCGGTTCAGACGTGAAAAAGAAATAACAGACAGACAAACACACTAGAAAATATCGGCCTCCGCAATTCCTATAAAAACTCGTTCTACCTGTCAAATACAGAATTCTACGAGAAGGTGTCGTCGCTGAAGAGTCACGGGATCAAAGTGGTCCTCGGCCTGGGAGGCTGGGACGACTCGGCGAGCGACAAGTACTCGCGGCTGGTGAACAACCCCTCGGCCAGGAGGACGTTCGTGGTGCACGCCGTCGACTTCATCGAGCAGTATGGCTTCGACGGCTTGGACCTGGATTGGGAATACCCCAAGTGTTGGCAGGTATGTTCGGGGATTGTTTGGGAATCCGAAACATTCGACATCATCACCAACAACATATTAATGTCACTGCTGAGGCACAAGCCTTCCTTATAGATAGAATAGCGAGATTGGGCCGTGACCCAACACGCGGGTGAGAAGTGGTGGGTGCAGATGCAGCCGCGATCAATGACTTAACGTGTCTTTTGAAACACGGTGGAGATCGTGATAGAACAGTTTTGTTCAACCATCCGATGATCGACTGTTGCGAAAGTTGGTTATTTTCGTCGCTGAAGAGTCACGAGATCAAAGTGGTCTATGGCCTGGGAGGCTGGAACAACTCGGCGAACGACTAGTTCTCGTGGCTGGTGAACAACCGCTCGACAAGAAGGAAGTTCTCTTCATCGAGCAGTGCGGCTTCGACGGCTTGGACCTGTACCCCTAGCACGAACCAATATCGAATTCATATCGTCTGCGAGTCCGAAATGTCATTGTTAAATGTGTACTGATTTTTAGTTCTCGTTACGTACTTTGTGCCGCTGCTGTTCAAGTTTCCATACAAAATTTGACATTGACATTTCGGTTTGCAAACTATTCGAATTCGATAATGGTTCGTGCTAAGGGTACTGAACAGGGAATTTCCCAAGTGTTGGAAGGTATGTCCGCAGATAATTTCGATTCCACGGGCTCCCGCAATCTGAAGACATCGGTCTTTAAAATATATGTCAGGTAAAAATATTGTTTGTTGTTCAGTAGGTAGGGTCTTGCTAATTCCGCTGAGCCCTAAGTTGGACGAAATAAGCGAGGAGAGACCCCCATTGGTGAGAAATCACACCTTTCCCAGACAAAAATCCTCACCATCATCATGACATCATCTAATATCACTGCCGAGCTTCTGCCGGGGCACAGAATAGGAAGCTACGGCTACGACCTACCACGCGGGTGAGGATTGGTCGCTAACGACTACATTAATCCTGCCTAATCTTTAAAATTTTAAAGTGCAAGAGTTGAAATTAAACAATTAGGGGCAAAAAGATCATCATATATTTACCCAATATATATTGTATAAATATTGTTTACAGGTGGAGTGCGAAAAGGGGCCTTATTCAGACAAGCAAGGATTCGCTGATCTAGTGAAGGAATTGCATGAAGCATTTTCCAAACGTGGTTTACTTTTGTCTGCTGCCGTATCGGCCAGCAAACGTGTTATAGATTATGGTAATTTTCAATTAATTTATCCCATAAATTAAATTAACATCTTTTTCATTTTGCTGAAACTAGAAGATTACTATATTCCAAATAATTATTTGAAATAATAAAAACGGGGTGAGCTAAATAAAACCGTTTAAAAAAACTGGCCAAGTGCATGTCGTGCCACGCGCAGTGTAGGGTTCCGTAGTTGCCTGTTGTTACCACAATATATTTGATCAGGAGTCTGTATTTTCTGTATCGGTAATTAGAAAAAACTTGCAATCTGAATTTTGATACTCTTAGTTGTCTTGCTTCAAAGGAGATTGCTCAAATTGGCCCAAATGCACAAAAAATATTGATATACACGGTAATTCTTGGCCTAATTTATAATTTTATTTACAGTCATTAGATTTCAACGGACACCTTTGTTTAATATATTCACTTTAAAAAGGACTTTTAATTTTACCGGTTTGGAAAACATACGAATCATTTTTAATGGCTATGAGTGTAGTAACATTCAGCCAAAGACTGATCGAAGTTGTTTATATAACATAAAAACAAATCTATTTTGTAAAGATCGATAAAATTAATCATTTTTTTATTACACTGTGGTATTAATATCCACAACTATATTATCATTTTCACTACATGCAAATATGCTCAGACAATTATTTTATATAGTAGGCGACATCATAAAGTCTATTTGCCATACATTTTTCGCCAAACACCTCCATAAACACATTATAATCTGTTTAGACTATAAGGTATCTATCTATGGGCCTACGTGTTGCCTGACTATAAATTAATAAATAAATAAAATTATAAGGTATGATACACTAAAAATCTAAAATATGGTTATATTAAAAACATAACAAAAATAATGAAGGTACTGAATATATGGCTATATAACCTAAATCTCTTAACTTTCTTTGGTTAGCGAGAGTTTAAAAATTCTCTCTAATCTGTGGCTCATTCACAATCCTCACAGTTTCTGTCACAGAGTATCTTATTATAACCGGAAATGCATAGATGACACCTGATTTTAAAAATTACTCTTAAGCATTAACTTTAAAAACAGGCAACTATCTGTTAATCTACATGCTCTATATACCTGAATGTAATGGGTACTTGGCTTGATTTCATTTGTTTACTATATAACTTATTTGTTTTTTATTATTTTAATATATTCAGTGTATACGGTTTATAGAAGTTCTCAGGGGTGTCCGTCAATAATATTCGTTTCTACAGTAATTTATATATAATTCCGAATCTAGGAAACAATTTTTCATGATTATTGATCTTTAGGCCAAACATGTATGGAAGCTGAGCAATCTCCTTTTATTGTTAAATAGTTTTTTTTCTTTTCACTTCCAGCCTATGATATACCATCATTAGCAGAAAACTTGGATTGGATAGCTTTAATGACTTACGATTACCACGGTCAATGGGACAAGAAGACTGGCCACGTAGCTCCAATGTATGTCAACGACAAAGATGCTGACAAAACCCTCAACGTGGTACGTTACCGTTGACTATCATTAAAAAGTGTTTGTGGGAATAAATGATTATACCTGATCTGCATTAATGGTCCTTCGAGCAGGATATATCAAAAAAATAATTTAGCTCTCATCGTTATCATAATCAGCCTATTTCTGTGCCCCACTTCTGTGGCACAGGCCTTTCCTATGAATAGAGAGATTGGGTCATGACCCACCACCCTGGATTGGTGGGTGCTAACGACTGCAGTTGAAGCCGAGACCAACAGCTTAATATGCCTTCCGAAGCACGTAGGATCTCGAGATAGTCATTTTTTGGCAACATCTCCAATGACCGACCACTGCGAAAGTTGCGTAATTTCAACGATCACAGCCGAACGCACTAGCCACTTGCGCCATCAAGCTTCACTAGAATTTATTAGTCAGTAGGGACAAAAACTTGTATGATATTAATATGGATCGCAAACAACTTAGAAACAACAAGGCGGCGGGCGGTGTTGGAGACACTACAGAGCTTCTGAAAGCAGGCGGTAAGTCGCAAAGTCCTCCAGAAGCTTTTCAATAGCGTTATCCTCGAAGGCCAAATGCCGAAATCGTGAAGCAGATGTGAAGTAATTCTATTCTTCAAAAATGGTGATAGCACACTCTTGAAGAACTATCGACCAATCTCACTTCTGAGAGAGTAAGCACTAATCGTCGCGCTTGCAGGTGTGACGACTTCCAACGACCCGAACAAGATGGTTTCCAAAAAAGCTTTAGTGCCGTATACTTGCAGATTATACAGAAAACCGATGTGTATAACCTGCCACTTTGCTGGGCGTTTGTGGACTACGAGAAAGCTTTTGATACGATTAAGTCCTGGGCGGTGCTGCTGTCCCTCCAAAGGTGTCAAGTAGACTACTGGTATGTGGAGGTGTTAAGGTATCTTTACGAAAACGCCATAATGTCAGTCCGATTACAGAATCAGAACTCTAATCCAATTGGAACGAGGCGAGGAGACAGGGAGATGTTATATCTCCGAAATTGCGTTGAAGGATATTTTTAAGCTTCTGGATTGGAAAGGACATTGCATCAACATCAATGGCGAGTACCGTACACACCTTCGCTTTTCCGATGATGTAGCTCAGATCTTGGAAGACCTGAACAACAATGCTTGAAGATCTCAACAGTGTTTCCCAAAGAGTGGGTCTAAAGATGGACATGGATAAGACGAAAATTATGTAGAATGTATCTACTCCAGTTAAAATTGGGAATACTCCAAAATGTCGACCATTACGTTTACCGGGGACAGACAGACCAGTTAGGTAACTTCAACCTTGAGAAAGAGGTTTCTCGTATTTGTTTCTTAGGTTTTCACGCACATCACTCATTAAATAAAACTAGTTTTTACGGGTTAATGTTAGGTTTCTCGTATTCAGATTTTACGTAACTTCCCGAACGCTGCTTATCCAAAGCACCGTTCGGGAAGTTACGTAAAATCTTTGTGTCCAAATTACCTGTGTCTCAAGACAAAAGCCTTTTAGCACTGTGTTGCCAGTAATGACATACGGATGCGAAACGTGATCGCTTTCTATGGGTCTCATTAGAAGGCTCAAGGTCGCACAGTGAGGAATGGAAAGAGCGATGCTTGGTATTTCTCTGCTTGATAGAATCAGAAATGAGGTAATCTACAGGAGAACTAAAACCGACATCGCTCGAAAGATTGCTTAACTGAAGTGGCAGTGGATAGGGGGCACATAGCGAGGAGAACCAATGACCGTTGGGGTGAAAAGGTTTTCGAATGGCTACCACGCACCGGACGACACTCAGTGGGAAGATCCCCCACCAGGTGGACCGACGATTTGGTGAAGATCGAGGGAAGCGGATGGATGCGCGTGGCGCAGGACTGATCGATGTGGAGATCCTTGGGTAAGGCCTATGCTCAGCAGTGGGCGTCGTACGGCTGAGATGATGATAATGATGAGGGACAAAAAATAACAGAACAATCAGTAGGTAAATAATTTGTCTGAATCTTTAAAATTGATGTCGCCCACAGAATTTCACAGTTAGCTACTGGATAAACAAAGGTGCTGCCCCTGAGAAGTTAGTACTGGGTGTTCCGTTCTACGGTCAGTCATTCTCTTTGGTGGAAGGAGCTGGTACTGGACTTGATACTCCTACTTATGCAGGAGGGGAGGCAGGAGACGAGACCAGAGCACGTGGTTTCTTATCCTTCTATGAGGTAAGTAAATAATGACAGATGTTAAATTTAAAATATTTTTTCTTTGTTATGAAATAATGAATTCATATCGTGAAATAGCAAGCAATACCGTAGTCTCTCCTTTTTAATCTGTTAGAGTTAGAGATGAAAAATGATGAAAAACTATTACTACATGCCATTGACTTAGTTAAAGCACAGTTCAAACTCAAGGCGCTGTGCGTAGCAATAGTTTAGGTATTTCAAGGGATGAAGCAAGTGAAGTGAATGGAGGGTACTCACCCCGCGCAAACCCCGTTGACGTTCACCTCACCTCAGATAAATATGACAGGGCCAAGCTAACAAATGAACGTATTTTAAAATCAGATCTGCGAACGGGTGAGAGTGAAGGGTTGGCGCGTACACCGCGACCCCGGCGGACGAATGGGTCCATACGCGACAGCCGGCGACCAATGGGTGTCGTTCGACGACGACCTGATGGCGCGCCACAAGGCGGAGTACGTCCGTGCCTTGGGCCTGGGCGGCGCTATGGCGTGGGCTTTGGACTTGGACGACTTCACTGCACGCTACTGTGGATGCGGACCATCTCCCCTGCTGGCTAATATCAACCACGTGTTGAGAGACAAACCCGCCCCACCACCCTGCTTCTTGAAAGAAAGTAAGTAACAGACCCTGTAATATAGCTTCTATTGGAAGCACAGTACGTTGCCTAGTATGTTAAAATCATAGCCCTGGGCGGCGCTATGGCTTATACTTTGGACCTGGATGACTTCACTGTCCGTTACTGTGGTTGAGGACAAAATCCACTGCTGGCTAATATCAGCAACGTGCTGAGAGACAAACCTACGCTACCACCCTGCTTCTAGAAGAGAGTAAGTAACAAATCGAAGTGCAGTATATTATAGCCAAATATATAAGAGCCATGGACGTGGATGACTTCACTGCTCGCTACTGTAGATGCGGGCTATCTCCCCTGCTGGCTAATATCAACCACGTACTGAGAGACAAACCTACGCCACCGCTCAGCTCCTTGGAAGAAAGTAAATAACAAACCAAAGCGCAGTATAATGCCTAGCATAATTGGCCTAAGCAGAGCGCTATGGCGTGGGTTTTAGACCTGGGCGACTTCACTGGCCGCTACTGTGGCTGCGGGCCATCGCTCCTGCTGGCTAATATCAACCACGTGCTGAGAGACATACCTGCGCCACCGCCCTGCTCCTTGCAAGAAAGTAAGTAACTAATCAACCTATTTAGCCATTACATAACGCAGCCCATTGCCAAGTAGAGTATATTATAATAACTATACACATTTAGAAATTAATCGAATTAACTTGTTTTTATAGTTCAAGCACCAACAACAACAGAATCTGCAGAGACTCCTTCAACTTCAGTAACTACTGAGCCAGAATACAAACCAGCGTACCCAGAAACTGAAATAAGCATGAACGACGAAACCGTGAGTTGCATAATAATATAACAAGACTCTTTTAATTGTATTTACACGACTGTTCAAAAAAAGAGTGTACCTTATTGAAATGTTGCTAATTATTACAATTAAGGTCATTTGAAAGATCTTTATGAGACCATATCAAATATATACAAATATAGTAGCATTAATAATCGGGTTTACCTGTAAAACAAGATAAATACTAGATTTTTTTTACTTTTTAATGCATTTTTAAACAGGAGTCGTTTTTTTATTTTTTTTTATTATTATTTAATCATTATTTAGTCATGTCAACATTTCCTCACGCAAAAATGCTATTTCACAGGGACCGACGCTTGATGGCAAACCTTGTTCAGGAGTTATGTTCAGAGCAGATGATCATGATTGCAGTAAATATTACATGTGTATCAATGATCAATACATGGAACTGCTGTGTCCCGCACCACTAGTATGGAACAAAGTAAGTTTAAATATAAATTTTGAGAAAATGAATCGTCAGAAGTGACAGACTAAATATTTACAATGCCTTATTTTAGAATCACTGCGACTTCCCGGAGAAGTCATCATGCAAGAGCAGAGCAAACTTGAGAATCGCAGGACAAATAGGTCCGGTGTTAGCTGATTATAAACCAATTGTTGGCTGCTACTTTACTAACTGGGCATTCTACAGGTTAGTAATCTACAGATACACTAGTTAATAAGTTCTACTCTAATAAATTTTACTTATTAGGTACAAGGTTAGTAATCTACAGATACACTAGTTAATAAGTTCTACACCAATAAATTTTACTTATTAGGTACTTACAACGTTAACTTTTGTCACAGACACGGAAACGGCAGTTTTGGACCTGAACAAGTCGATCCTTCAATGTGCACTCACATCATATACGCATGGGCTCATCTCGATTATGATACGTACAAAATAGTACCTGGAAACCAAGAACTAGATATAGAAAACGGTAAAACGCAGTTTTCACAAACACAACTACTACTTGGTCTTAGGTTCTTTTAATAGGATGAATTTACTGATAATAAGAGATATTTATTTTTAGATTTCTACGGAAAAATTACGAATCTTCGCTCGTTGGGAGTAAAAGTCATTATTGGAGTTGGTGGCTTAGAAGATTCCGAAGACGATAAATGGCCAGAAATGACCGCCAGTCCGCAACACAGAAAAACATTCGTAGAATCGACTCTCAAATTCTTGAAGAGATGGAACTTTGACGGTTTACAGCTCGCCTGGCAGTATCCAGTTTGTAAACAGGTAATTATATTTTAAATTATTAAGTCTTCATACGCAGACATAGAATCCTCATCTTCTGAAGAAAATTGCTTATTTCCATCTCCCTTACAGATGCCATGCACTGATTTTGACATCACGGAAAAGGAAAACTTCAGCATTCTTTTAGCTGAACTGTCCAAATCTCTACATCAGCATAACTACGAGTTATCGGCTATGGTATCTGCATCACCTGAAATCGCAGCTCTGGCCTATGAGCCTGAAGTATTAACGGCAACTCTAGACTGGATCTCACTTGCCGCTAATGACTTTTACGCATCTAAATCAGGAAGAACGGCATATTTGGTGCCCTTGGAATCAGTAGAGTTAGCAGGAATCAATAGTTTTGTAAGTACATAATTGATTCATTTTGTTTCTTTCAATGAATACGTATAAGTTTAGTAGCTGAATATCAAATAACTTATTAGTACCTTTATTTATATTAAAATTAACCTTTATTTATTTATTTATTATTATATTATATATATTTATTTATTTATTTATTTTATTTACCTTTATTTTATTATTTACCTATATATTTTATTTATATTATTATTTATTTATATACCATATTTTTTTATATCAAGAATTGGGTTTTCTAAGTGGAAATGTCACGCAAGAAGAAATGTTATGTTCGATTCATGATTCCGGAAATTTTATTTGCAGAATTCATCTCTAGCATACTGGGCAAGTGTTGTTCCCACAGGTCAGTTAGTAGTGGGAGTGCCAGCTTATGCTCGTTCATATACTTTACGTAGTTCGGCTCATACGGGAGTCCACGCACCCACCACTGGACCTGGAGCAAGAGGCCACTTTACTGGAGTACCTGGATTCCTGGCTTCTTACGAGGTAAATATTGATGATAAAAATCACTGTGAAGATTTGAAAAATGCTGTAACAATAAATTTGTGCCCCTAATTTATGCCCTGAATCAACGTTATTTTAAAATAAACTTTGTTTTTGACAAAAAGTTTGAGGATGATCCGTAGTTTTGAAGCAATCTCAAGTAATCATTACCTCCAAAAAATAAGTTCAGAAAAGTTAATAAGTTTATAAATCAAGTCGGACGACATTAAACTCGTGTGATTGTCTAAATTCTTAGAAGTTTTTTTTAATGTTAGTAAAAAAAATTTTGGATCTGAAATTGTGAGTAAGTACAAAGTACAATTGTGAGTGCCATAACTTTTCTTGTAATCTAAACCAAGTTCTAGAAAGATTTCTTAATCAGTGCTGTCTAGTAATTTCAAAGCAAGTTGGCTGCGACAGTCGGCACAAATAGGTTGCTAAAATTTTGGAGGGTGTCACCAAACTAACGATATGCAGTAAATATAATAGAATAGAATTAGTAAATATTTGCTCTCTGATGTCGCACCGCTTACTTGCCCAAATTTTCAGTATTTATATTTGAGTAGAGATCATCTTCGCAAATTTCGATGAATGCGTCGCTAGCTAGGGGCAGAACATTTTTCAATTTGACGTGTGTGATTTTAGAGGGGAATGGGGGGGGCGTCATATCCCTTATGGACCCCTCTAAGGACCGCGCCTACTTCCAAAACGGATCTACTTAACAAATTAACATCGCTTACAGATATGTCCCGGCACCTCGAGCGGGTGGCATGAGACGCAAACCGAGGACGGTACGTATGCTGTGAAACGTTCCCAGTGGGCGTCGTACTTGGGGGCGGGCGAGGTTCACCGCGTAGGGGCGAGCGCGGCGCGCGCGGGACTGCGGGGCGCGGCGCTGTGGGCCCTAGACCTGGACGACTGGCGCGCGCTGTGCTCCCGTCGAGTGCGCCCTCTGCTCGCCGCGCTGCGACAGGGTCTCGACGCACCCAACCTGCCTTTGGACTTGTAAACTTTGACTCGTGGTACCAGAGCTACGCTGCGGCAGGCCCTCGACGAACCCGACCTGCCTTTAGACTTGTAAACTTGGACTCATGGTACCAGAGTTACGCTGCGGCAGGCCCTCGACTAACCCGACCTGCCTTTGGACTTGTAAACTTGGACTCATGGTACTAGAGCTACGCTGCGGCAGGCCCTCGACGAACCCGACCTGACTTTGGACTTGTAAACTTGGACTCATGGTACCAGAGCTACGCTGTGGCAGGTCCTCGATGAACCCGACCTGACTTTGGACTTGTAAACTTGGACATTCCCGTATTAAATGGGGGTTGCAGACCAAGAGCTAAGCTAAATTAGTCTAGATTGCCTTGGCTCGCATAGCTGACACAGTTTTTCATATTTGTGCGCAGACTGCAAACTAAGCTATATGTGCTGTGTATGCCTATACGCTAAACGAGCTAAGCTAAGCCCTTCCCGCCTACCCCGCACCCACTTCGTGTCTTACTGATATTTCGGTCTGCAACCCGCTGAACTCATGGTGCCAGAACTACAATATTAGAATTTGTCAACTTTTATTACATTCCCGGGGGCGTCAACTCACTACTCTATGGCAGAAGCTCATGGTACCCGACCTGCATTTGGACTTGTAAACTTGGACATTCCCGACTTGAACTGATGGTGCCAGACCTACTATCTTAGAATTTGTAAACTTCAATTACATTCCCGAGGGCCTCAACTAACAACTACTCTACGGGAGAAGCTCTTCTCAGTATAACTCTTGGAAAGGCAACTACATTGATGATTATACTAAAACATTGTCCTCAAGTTCCAAAAATCTTATAAAGTACTTCAAATGAGACAGTTCAGTGTATGTACCAATAATTAAATACCTAATGATGTGATAATTTTCTTAGTGTACGATAAGAATTTATGATAAGAATAATGTAATTTCATTGACCTAATGCTATCTATACTTGACTAGACAATAATTAGAACACTTATTCTCTGTCTATTATTGTCAATTTGAGTATTGATTTAAAGGTAATAAATAAAAGGAACTATTTTTTGTAATTTCTTATAAAAATAAAATATTAATTGCTTGTAAAGATGTTGGAGTGCAATAAATATTAAGAATACTTACAAACTGTTTCTTTTCCCCTACCAATTTAAATCGTAGAATAATTTATTTTAACTAAAAGCAAGTATATACTCGGGTACTTTTCTGCCATGTCATGCCTTGTAGTCTTCTCTAACTTTATCTTGATATAAGTATACATGTATTATTTTCCACAAACTGATAAAACACTATTATTTCCGTATTTGTTTTAAAGACCGTACTAAGTAATTGAAGAGGCGCAATGACGTCTGTTCCTTGCTTCCTACTACTAAAATTCGAAAAAAAAACTTTATACTATTATTATAAGTGCATTATACATTTTGTTTAATTATCAAAATCAAAAATAACCAGAAGATTTGTTTGTTTGTTTGCAAAGACGGCGTCCATAAATTACGTGAGGTGTTTTTTTTTGAATTTTCTGTCGTAAGCACGTAAGGCTTGTGTTATGGGATGCTATTGTAACGGAAATACTTACACAATTAATAATAAATAGATAACCATACTCGTATAGAACTATATATTTACATGTATACATAAACAGTCATGACTTACATAGGTCCAAATGCTGGTATTTATTTATTTGTTGAAAGATTAACAAACAAATATCAACCTTATCTATTCAAATTTAATTTAACAATGCTATTTATAAATGTCCACAAATATCATACAAACATTCAACTCACCGATGTTCGAACCCTTTTGTTTTTTTTTAATGTCTGGTAAATGCTTTACGTATTATAGTAATATAAGTTATTTACGGGATTGTTACCATGTACCATGAATACCAGAGAGTATAAAAACAAAATCCATAGTCTACTCACTCACTGACGAACACATAATATACAAGAAGGTGGTGACAACCCAACGGCAAGGACAGATCGTAACACTCGCTCATTCATAAAAGAATGCGCCTACACTTTAGACGGTGACATTGTCAAATATTTATTACGTCCTAGGAACATCCAGCCTCCAAAACTATATTGCCAGCCATAAGTCAAATGTGCCACTATGTCCGATCGTGTGTCAGAGAGACTCACCAGCACGTGGCAAAAGTATTGCAGCCGATATAGTCCAGTCAATGAAGGTTTCGACCTCCGATTTCGTTGAATCTCCATTGATTTTCATGAAAATTGGTGAGTAGGTGGGGGATACCTTAAGTAACAAATGTGACATAGTGCCAACTTGCGCTTCTGCCCTGGGGGTAGATGCCACCTCTTCCCGGGGGGGATGAAACTTATTTTATTAAAATAACTCGAGAAATCGATAGAAAAATAAATTCTAAGCAAAATTGATATATAAAGATTTTGGAATAAATCAATACTTTCCGAGTTATTAAAGACAAAAAGATTGTGATTTTTCGTGATAAAAATACATGTTTTAAAGCGGTTTTTCATAAATAACTCAAAAACTATGAGTTTTCACAAAATAATATTATTACCAAAATTGAAGCTAATAAAAAATCAAACAAACCTCTACTTTGAAAAACCTAAAATTGATTCAAAGTGAGCTATATAGGTTATTGTATGTACATTTTTTCGGCGAGTACTTAAATCTAAGTATTCAAACCTAAATAACGGGAAACCGATGCATTTTATGACATATACAGGGTGAAATTGAATGTTTTAATGAAACTTCGTGGGAATGTTGGGTTACGTATATAGAGTATCTCTGATTTTTTTCGGATTTTTTAAAAAATGATTTAAAATAAAATTTTGTTTTTTTTTTTGTTATATTTTAAGTCCTTTCCTCCTTTTGGGTACTAAATAATTATTCTTTTAAAACATGCATACAGAATAAGTAAAAAACAAGTAATAAGCACTACTAAAAAAGACGTAAAAACAGGAGACGGGCGGCCGGGAGCAATGGCCGCTCCCGCCGTTGAATACCTTCCTGCCTACCTATCTAGGTATGCGCGGTGCACAGCGCAGTGAGCGAGCGGAGTCTCAAGCGCGCGTGCGTATCTTTTAAATTTGTGACAAGACAAGATTTGCAAATAATGCCTTGATTAGTTCTTGTTCTGTGCCCTCAATATAAGAATTTGGATATGGTGTGTTGTTATTGCGAGTGTCACGGAATACTCAGCAGAGCCACAAGGCTTTACGAAAGTAGGTTCGGTGATTTATTGGGAAGTTATAGAGAAAAGAATTAATAGGTACATCGGTCTCGTAAGTACTTTTGAATACCTGGTAATAAATTTCATTCTGACCCAAGTATTGAACTGCAATAAGTATTTCTTTTTGTTTAACTTTTGCCTATTTCCAATCGTGACAAAATTATTATTAACTTTTTAAGTTTTTCTCTGCTTAAGAGAAGATGACATTTGTGCTTATTATTTCAATTTCAATAAAGGCATCTAAGACGATTTTATTGTATTGTGTGGAATCAAACGAGTCAGCTGAGCTCTGTGTACGTACCTACTCACTCAACGGCTGGCGGGCGCGGTCGGTCGTTGACCCGCGGTGGAATTTTACTGTTTTTCCCTTTTTTAGAAGTGCTTATTTATTAGTTGTTTTTCACTGGATTTGTAAGCATGTTTGTTTAATATGAATAACTACGCAAAAGGAGGAAAGGACAAAAAAATACACAAATTATAAATAAATACATGAAAAAAATACTTCAAAAAAATCCGAAAAAAATCAGGCATACTCTATACTCGTAACCCAACAATCTCACGAAGTTTCATTAAAACATTCAATTTCACCCTATATACTTCCTGAACATTTTTAATGAGTACTGTAAAAAGTAATAGCATCAAAATTGAGCAAGTTATGATAAAAATAAGATCACACTTTCGATTTTTTTTTGGAAAAAACGAAAAATTAAACCTTCACCATTTCCAAAAGAAAAATCACATTTACGGTTATCCCTAAAGGACTTACTTATTTTTAGCATAAGCGACGACCTCAAAAATTTTGCCCGGTTTAAAATGCTTATTTTTCAAAAAGAAGTATCATTTGAACGTCGTCGTTTGTGAAGGATTCACGCAATTTCATAGAAATCTTGCACCAAAACAAGGTAGATGAAAATCAGTTGGTCAGTTTTGACGTGGAATCGCTGTTCACAAATGTACCTGTGTTGGACTGTCTGGAAGTGGTGAAGGTGAAGTTGCAAGAAAATGACATCCCGAAGGAATATGCCAAGCTGTTGCATCATTGTTTGTCGACGAATTTCTTCTTAAATCAGAGTCAGTACTACCTCCAAATAGATGAGGTCGCAATGGGCAGTCCCGTGGCTCTTGTGATTGCCAATAAATGGTTGAAGCATTTTGAAGAAAAAGCCTTTATGACCGCACCCACAGAAATAAAACTATGGAAGAGATATGTCGATGACGTATTCTGTATAATAAGAGGTTACAAATATGATGTCGAGTCTCACCTGGCAAATTTAAATGGTATCCATTCTAAAATTAACTTCACCTATGAGATGGAAGAAGACAGAAATTTGGCCTTTCTGGATGTGAAGACTCGGGTAAGGAATGACAGTTCGCTTGGTCGTTCCATTTACCGCAAACCTACACACACTGACCGCTATCTCAACGCCTCCTGGCATCACCACCTTAAACATCTTAACTCTTTAGTGACTTCACTGACGAACCGTGCATATGACATGTGTGATAAGGAGCATCTTCAAGAAGAGTTGGAGCATGTACGACGAGTCTTACAGAGTAATGGATACCAGGACACTTTCCATCTAGACACAAACTAAGACACCAGAGACACAGAGTAGACAGACAACCTGTTTATTTGCCATAAGTCAAAGGAGTGACTGACAAGATCTCAAACATACTGAATAAGTACTCACTAAACACTGTCTTCACTCCTTTACGAAAGGTTTCACAATACTTACGGTCTCCTAAAGACAACTTCCCCTTGGAGAAACCTGGTGTCTATAAGATCGATTGCAGTTGCAGCTGTGGCAGTTCGTACATTGGCCAAACAAAGCGAATAGTAGCATGCCGAATGAGGGAACACATAGGCCGTATACAGAAAGAAAGCCGAAAGCCGATCGGCGCCGATCAGCGCTGATCCTTTTTCTATGGACCAGCGCCTGTAAGCGCCGATCAGCGCCGATAAGCGCCGATAAGCGCCGACACGCGCTGGTCCGAA